AGTCCATATTGACATGATAGCATCACGCAGTTGCTGCAGATTTGTCGGCTGCACATCCATGATGCAAATCTCCTGTTCCACCACATCCCAAAGGTGCTCTATTGAATTGAGATCTGGTGACTGTGGAGGCCATTGGAGTGCAGTGAAATCATTGTCATGTTCAAGAAACCAGTTTGAAATGATTTGAGCTTTGTGACATGGTGCATTATCCTGCTGGAAGTGGCCATCAGAAGATGGGTACACTGTGGCCATAAAGGGATGGACATGGTCAGCAACAATACTGAGGCAGGGTGTCGCGTTTAAACGATGCTCAGCTGGTACTAAGGGGCCCAAAGTGTGCCAAGAAAACCTCCCCACACCATTACACCACCACCACCAGCCTGAAACGTTGATACAAGTCAGGATAGATCCATATTTTCATGTTGTTCATGCCAAATTCTGACCCTACCATCTGAATGTCGCAGCTAAAATGGAGACTCATCAGATCAGGCAACATTTTTCCAATCATCTCTTGTCTAATTTTGGTGAGCCTGTGTGAATTGTAGCCTCATTTTCCTGTTCTTGGCTGACAGGAGTGGCACCCGGTGTGGTCTTCTGCTGCTGTAGCCCATGTGCTTCAAGGTTCGACATGTTGTGCATCAGAGATGGTATTCTGCATACCTTGATTGTAATGAGTCACTGTCATCTCAAACCAGACAAACTTCAGCAAGTTGTCTTGACCATGTCTATATGCCTAAATGCATTTAGTCGCTGCCATGTGATTGGCTGATTAGCTATTTGTGTTAACAAGCAATTGAACAGGTGTACCAGGTGAGTGTATATACAATCAAACGATCAAAAACAATACTTTGTTGTCTTGTTTCAGATGTGAAACTTTTTCATCCATCAGTGGCAAAAACTAGCTTTATAGTGACAACGTTGACATTGTCTTAGTCAGAACTGATTGTAGAAAATGCAGAAACAATATGATTCAGTCCTAACATGTCTGGAGTTGTGGCTTTAGGAAAGGAAGTGCAGCTGTTGCATCGTGTTACTTTTTTCCACCCTCCTCCTCCTCCTCCTCCTCCTCCTCCTCCTGGCAGCTGAGGGAAACCAGCAAAGAATAGAGCTGCTGCAATTAAGGCTGAATTTGCCTTTCAACAGCCCACTCTGCATGTTGGAAGACTGACCCTCCACAGCTTCTCATCCTCCAACACTGCAGAGTGGGTGGGAAGCATCCCAGTTTATTCTCAGTGCTCCTTCCATCATACAGCCCTCTCAAAGTGAGAATTTATACATTAATTTGGCTGTTTATTCTGTTAAATGTCACTGCGATGAGACTTGCCAAAACAGTTAATCTCACACACCCACTCTTTAGATCGTCAGCGGACAGGTCATATCAAATGGTAATTGAATAAAACCAGATAAACATTAAGCTTGGATAGACATAACACAAACACACAGACACTAAAATAGAGGTAGAATATTTGAACCATTTCCCATAAGTAAAAACTTTGATTATTCTATTGAAAAAGAGGTTAAGAAAGTGAAAACAACCTGTTTCACTATAGTCATAATATAGCAACAATGGTTCTGGTCAAGTATTTCAGGTATTCATTTTTTTGTAAACCTTTCTAAACCAAAAAATGTCAGCTGATCAGCGTGCCTGTGTGCACACAACCTCTTTTCCAGTGTTCAAGGGTACAGGGCAGTGAAATCAAGCGAGACTGCCAAGTCTGGTCTGTACATATGCAAAGACATGCCTGATTGGTTGCATAAGAGTGAAAGAAGAAACCTCTGACCCCCAACCAGATACCGTCCTACCAAATCACAGCTATAAATTACAGTCCATTCCTCTGTGTTTATCAAACAGCTGGCTCCCACTTTCCCTCCCCACTCCACTTATTTGTTATAACCCCACAACAAATGCATTCTGTAGATGCTGATTGTAAAACCATCCCTGTACTGACTGTCTATCATGAAGGACAAAAGAAATGGTTGGCTTTATGAGATATATTTTATTTTGGTAATCAACAGGAGAATTTTGTTATTTATCTGTCAATTTATAAATTTCGGTCTCACACAGCAAACTAAAACCCTTTGATGAGAAAACAAGGGGCAGTCAAGATGGCTTCAAATGCAATTAGTGGAAGACAAGAAGAGGTCAAAGTCGTTCAGTTCAGTAGACATTTCAGCCCATCAAGAGAGTATTTCCAGTTTCTTGCTTTTCTCAAGAAACATATGATATTAACACTGATTTCTTCTTAGTGTCTATTCAGCCAGAAAAAAACAGAGAATAAATAAAAGTATTTACAGTAACGGCCTGACAAATGTCCAAGTTAGAGTTCCTCCCTCTTAATTTACATGCAGGAAGTCCTTGGCTCTGCCGTCAGCAAAATGGCGGTGGAACCACCATTTGTTTTCTAGAGCAAGCATAGAGTGATATTTTCAGCACAATTCAGCAAGATACAAGCACAGATGTGTTAAATAAATTTGCTGAAATGGCAGTCAGGTGTGCATGTTAACCCACATGGAGCTTTTAGTTGAAAAACTGTGGAGGGAAGACTAATTCATCTCACATGGGTTAACAGTGGTGACCTAATATCTTTATTACTTGTCCTAATAATAAAAGAAAAGAAGAATGAAAGAATAACACCGCTGGCCAAGAACATTGAAAAACAGCTGTTTTAGGACATCAGTCAATACTAGAACCAAATTAATATATAAAGTGCCTCTATCAAAGGTTTATTTAGAGGATGATCACTTTACCAAAACACCTAATTAATTTGTTATCTGCAGCAGTGTGTGTGATCCGCTGCAACATGAGCAGGTCAGGCTGAAACTAGGACGCTCATTGTCTTCCCTCAAAGCTGTTCATGTGAAACACATGCTTTTGATTAAGCCAATGTTTATTGATAGCCTGCTGGGCTGCTGTTTTTTTCACATTAATGTAACTTTAATAACATACAAAGAGATTTCTCAGGGTTTGGTTGGATTTGTTTAAACTGATTTCCACATAGACATTTTTTTATTGTGACATAATTTCACTCACATAATCACACTCATTTCTTTTTCAACTTCATGGTTTAGTTTTTAAATTGTATGATAAAATTACATTGTGATGACACTGTAATGCATTTGAATCAGAGTTCAAGCTTGTTGAAACGTCCTAATTTTTACTAAAATCTATTTTGCATGAGTGATGTCAGAACACTAAAAGTAAGAAACATGTCCCATGAACATCTAAAACATTCAAGAGTCATTATAAGTTGGCTTTATGTTGACATTCAAGCAAGTGAAGAGATATTCTTTGTACTGTATTTCAGTGTCAGGGCTTCCCTTTTGTCAATATTTGTTTTTTGGATTTAGCGTTTTAGCTTAATATAGAGCTCAGATGTGATACAGTATTACTCCACTCTGTCTCCCACGGGTCATGCATGTGACAGGGTTTAATTTCAGATGACTTTAATTAGACCCTTCTATTGCCTGTGGGGACCTTCCAAAATTGTGTCAAATCTTGGGTAACCAACATGTGAGGGGTTACAGTTAGATTCTTGCAGAGTTTTTATGTCTTGAGGTTAATAATAATAATAATGTCATACTTTATTGTCACATACACATACATGTTGCGAAATTCGTCTTCTGTATTTAACCCATCTCTCAAGGGAGCAGTGGGCAGCCACGATGCATCGCCCGGGGACCAACTCCAGATCTTTACCAGTGTCTGGTCAATAATACTGACAGGAAAACCCAACATGTTTTGATGGTGGAGGAAACCGGATCTGTAAAATACAGAGACAGTGCACAGCTGTATTTTTATTTCCCTTTAGAACACATATTGCATCTGAGAAGAATTGACTAATTCATTTCAATTCACCATTTGCTCCATGCCCAACCAGAAATTATGCAGCCATAGCTTTTCAACTCTATTTAGGCACGGCAGGCCTGTCAAGCTCTGGATTTCTTTAAATGTGTTTTGCCCTCTCGAAATTAACCATTCACATTAGCTACTTAACCAGATTAACACTAACATTTCCATCTTGCTAACTTTATCTGCAGTAGTTAGAGTGTTACTTCCAAGCCCAGCAGCATCTCAAACTACATTATTTTGTGCGGGTTTACAGGTTGTGTAAAAAACAAAAATAACCTTGGAGTATAGGCTAATATTAGCAGTCTTGTCCTGCTGTTTATTGGATTTGGGTTAATTTACACTCCAGCAATGTCCGTTCAACATTATCTGAGATAATGTGATTAGTCCTGATCCTAAGAGACTTTTCTCTTGAAAAGTCAAAATTGAAACATACAGTACTACTTATATAATAATAAGAACAATGAAGCCCAAACCTCTGTCTTGCCTGTATTAGCATATGTAAGCTAAGCACAACAAGCTAAACAGGGTTTACATTTTTTCTTATCATAGTCATAATACAAGGAGTATCACTCTACTGTAATACAAAAACAATGATGATTCCATAAAAAAATAATAGAACAATGACTGCCCAGTATTATATTAATGAACAAAAAGGCCTTGTGTGAATGTTGAAAATCCTAGCATAACCTGCGTAACCAGCGCATTTTGACTCACAGAGTCTTCATTAGGGTATAAAGTGCAATGAGGGCAGGAGTTTAATTGAAAACTCATAAAGTGGTCATAGGACTGCCAACCAATGGCATGGATTTACACAGATAGCATACTGGACAGCAATTGTTCTTTTATTTATTTTTTCATTAGTATTACCAATACCACTGTTTTTGACCCAGTGCAGCACACCCTATTCTGTTTCAGTGCTGTTTCTTTATTTCCAGGTTTTCTACATGAATCATTGACTGGTGAGGACGCTAACTTTTTGCCTGGGACCTGTTAGCTACATACCCTAGAGATAACGTAATTAATAGAGCACCAGTCAAACCTCTAATGGTGGAAAACTTTACAAATATGGCATTTATGTTTGTTTCATGTAGCCTATTCATTTGAGGAAGGTTACAGTTTCCTCATCTCTCCACACACATCTGATGTTTTCATCTGCCACTTTTTTAGTCCTGAGTGGAGCAGAAGCATCGTGTTTAATTGACATGTTTCATGTACATGATTTATTTGCTATGTCTGTTAAAGCTGCAGTCAGTAACAACTGAACATACAATGCAAAACCTTCTGCTTCTCTCTCTGCTGTTCGTAACACTCCACTAAGCCCCTCCCTCCAAAGGACCCAGTTGCCCTGCAAAACCACATTCCACGTAGGGCTTGTTCTCCATGGCAAGAGTCTCGCAAAGACCCTGATCCCTCTTGCTTCGGGTCATCTTCTCAAAGATGCCCCTCCAGCACCCAGGGCAGAGCGCCCCAGGCTTCAGAGGCAGCTGCAACAATGTCTAACAGCAGGATGAGAGGTTAGTACTCCACTACCACCTCTCAAAGGTTATTCCCCACTGTTTGTCATCATGCCTCTTTGCCACTCATTGATACAAGCGCCATGGCATCGAACACAATGAGCCCGAAGCTCTGTGCGGATCCATGATACGTTCAGACACAGGTTTTTTACTATAGGCTGTTGTTGGAAAAGGAGGGATGGGCAGTTTTTTCATTGTTGGTTGTTTCTCAGACATTGTGTTTGCAAAACCTTTGAAGCCACGTTGAAGATTTTGAGCTTGACTGAGAGCATGTATGAGGAAAGGGGCTGCACAGCTTGTGCACAAGAATTGACTCACACTGGGTTAGAGACTCCTTCTGGCTCTGTTTCACCTCAGACAAGAAGAAGAAGAGAAGAAGAGTTTTTTTATGTTGGTTGTGATTGAAAATGCACATAAAAGCAGATGTTTCTGGTAAACTTTAGGGAAAGAAACTACATAGGCTCTTCTTAACTTCTACTCAGGTCAAATGTTTCTCACTGGCTGAAATATAAAGACAGATGATTAGTTTCCCCTTTTAGTATGCATAAATGACATCTGATGCACCATCAAGTGAGTTTTCCCTTTTTGTGATGAAATCTTTATAACTAACTTGTCGTGTGTTTCCCATGCAGTCCAGTCAACTAACCAAGTCATCAACTGACATTGTATAAATATAAGTGTGAGTGTGAGTATTTAGTCTTATTGTTCACTGTTGAACAATTCAACTCAGCTGTAAATGGTATATTTGAGGACTGTGAACAGCGCCTATAGATAAAACTATGAAACATTTCTCAAAATATTCATAGAAAATGCTGCTGTCATGCATTTTATTACTAGCATCATCTGCAAATCGAAAGAGTTTTGCTTGCATTTGATAAAGCTCCATAACCATCTCAGGGAAGCAAAAAAGTGAATCCAAAGAGAAATGTGGTGAGTTGCATCCTTGCTTGTACGATGGAGATCAGTACTGCTCTTACTCCATCTGCAGCAGAAATGTCTGTAGTGGCGTCCTCGTGTCAGTAGAATGACAGTCACAGGGCTCTTGCATTGCTCTGCATCCAAAAACAATCAAAACAAGCAACAGCCAAAGGTTAAATCTCTGATTCTTTACGGGAGGAAATTTGTTCATGTCCAGGAGTGGCTTGCTCGTTTACTAGCTCCGATGAACACTTTTTGTCTTTCTCCTCATCTCCCTCCTCCTCCTCATCTCTGCTGATGAAGGCCAGCTCGTTCTCATAGCAGAAGGAGTTGGCGCCAGATGTTGGGAATTTTCTCTCCTCCATGTCCTTGGCGCTGCACCTGGGGGTGGATGGTACTTCGAATGTTTTGTGAAAGTAGGCGTAATCTATCCTGTACTGGCTTTTCTCCTCAAAGATTACAGGCTCAAAGCGGTGACCCCACAGGATCTCTGAGGGCAGGTAAGAGCTGCGTGCCTGCGTCGTCATGGCTGTGGCCTCCACCAACCCCTCAAGTATAATTACTATCTCAAAGTCAGACGTTTCAAGATCTTGCTTACTGATGCCAAACAGTGGACTTTCTTCATCAATCTCATGTATGACAGTGAGGGGTGCAACCAGAAACAGGCGGTCCGTGCCTTTGTCATAGCCTACGTTCATGTCAAGCTGATCCAGGGGGATATATTCACCTTCCTCTGTGTAACGGGGCTTGACGAGCTGGGCTCTCACATGAGCTTCTACAATGTGGCTCTTCCTTAGATTAGCAACCCTAAACATGAGGCACAGCTTTCCATCACGCATAGCGATGACTGCGTTGTGGCTGAACAGTAGAGTCTCTGCTCGCTTCTTGGGCCGTGCCATCTTGGCCATGATGGCACCAATCATGAAGGCGTCGATGATGCAGCCCATGATGGACTGAAAGACCACCATGAAGACAGCAACCGGACATTCCTCTGTCACACAACGAGCTCCATATCCAATGGTTGTCTGGGTCTCAACAGAGAACAGGAAAGCTGCCACAAATGTGTTGACCTTAATGACACAAGGAACAAAACTGTCATCCTCTTCGGGGTGATCCATATCACCGTGTAGGAGGCCAATGACCCAGAATGCCAGGCCAAATGTTAGCCAGGACACCACAAACACCAGGCTAAATAGCAGGAACATGTATCGCCAGCGGATGTCCACACACGTTGTGAAAATGTCAGATATGTACCGCTGGGACTTCTCATCCATGTTTGAGAAATGGATGTTGCACTGGCCAGCCTTGCTGACAAATCGGCTGTGGTATTTGCGTCTTGTGTGAATCTTGCCATTTCCGAAGCTACCCACAGCAGGCATGGTATTTAGCCTCAGGCCTACTTCTTCAGAGGACACGAAGCTGTGGTGGTGGGCCCTTCCCACACTCATGCCTCAGTGGGGCACAGCCACGTAGCTTCACACTATCAGCCCAGCTCATACAAAACTGACCAGGCTCACAGGAAGTGCACAGCTCTGTTCAAAACTGGAGTGGAGAGGTGTGCCACAAAAGTTGTTTCCTGGAATGCAAGGGCAGGTAAAATATTAACATACAACATTATCTATTATCTGCCAGTATTATCACTGTATTACAGTACAGGTATGTGATATACGTATTTGCCTTAGCAATAAAATAAACGTGACGCTAATTTTGGTCTCAGTAGAGACAAAACTGGACAAAAACAATGAACATGACACTTCCACATACATTTTCCCTTACGTAACTTCATCTCTAACGTAACTTACGTAACTTTATCTCTTATTTTACTTATTGAGGACGGACTTCTGCTACTTATGATGTTCTTAAACATACAGTATCTAGACTTCTCTCAGGTGTTGCTCACTGTCAACTCAAATAGTTTAGAATCTGGTTTCTAATAATAGCTGCTGGTTTACAAAGCTTTCCCAGCCAAACACGATGTATTTTCACTTAATCATTTCCCACTGTTGATTTAGTAACAACTATTTTGATTGTTTTTACTCTCAATAGAGAAAGAATCATTGATGAATGTAACATGGAGGTGATAAAGTTATACATATATTTTCAAACTGCTTTCTATGTTGAAAATGTGGTTCAAGGTAATATAATTAATCTTCCTTTAAAAATACTAGTTAACCTACTACTTTTCTTTTGTGATTTATCCTGCCACAGCCTACATTTGATTGTCTGTCCTACCTCTCTTTCTCTTGTGCTCTATTGGAAATACTCTGGTATATACAATACATGTTTCTCTGATCAACAAGGTACAGAAATAGCCAGCTAATCCAATGCCCTGCCATTTTATGTGACGTATCTTCTGTTTCCTCCAGCTGGCACAGCTATTAGAGTCATTGGAGTTCTGAGATGAGGCTGTGTGATTCCCCTGTGAGGCTGAACTGGAAAATAATATGGGCTGAAAAAGACGGGGCAGAAAATTGTGGATCGTAAATGAGATAGCCTCAGATACAAATGGTTTGCTGGTCGGAACGGTCGATGGCATAAAATGGAAAAAAATAGAATAAAAAAGGGGGAACTGTGTCCTAATCGGTCCCAACTGTAGCTTGTGTTGATGGAAGAAATGAAAGTCGTTATATGATTTCCAGTAAATTGTGCGACATGAAGTTTTTTCCAACCTGTACTGGTAGAGCAAGCACTAGTATTAGACATTATGTCTTAAGAAAGGCTTTTTCAAATTGTAGCTATTTTATATATATATCATATATAGCTATTATATATACAAACAATTATATATTGTTTGTGTCCCATCTAAAGAGGCTTAGAAATTACCTTTAATCTTATAAATATATATATCTTCTTCTCTCCATTTAAAGTATCATTATTTTTTTTAATTCTTTATACAAACTTTAATGGACCAAATGTACTGTAGATTTATCACATGTGATCACATATTTTGGGGAGATCCGGCCAGTCTCCAATAAATTCAGTGAAAAACCTTCCAAACATCCTGTTTCACACAGGAACACTTTACACCTGTGATCCCAGGGCATTATTAGAAACAGGTTTATAGGCCTACTGCTTGAATATTTTGGAGTCGGGAGTAGTTGGTCTATTAGTGTTTTAGTCTAGATAACTTTGTGATAAACAAAGTTTACAGCCATGTTAGTGTGTTTTTAAGGTTTGATGTTGCTTATGTTTATTTGTTGTTGTCGGGTTTTTTGTTGTTGTTTTGTTTTTTTTACAGTTTTTATGGTGATTATTTTTAACAATTTTACTCCTGTGAAGAACTTTGTGACCTTGCTATGTGAAAGTAAATCAACTTTACTTCCTTAGTGGTTCTTTGAGGCTGCATTTAGGCACAGTTGTGCTTTAGCTAAATGCTAACATCAACATGCAAAAATGCCCACAATGCTAACATGTTTAGCATAGCAGGTATGATGTTTACCATGTCACTACGTTAGTTTAGTATGATAGCATGCTAACGTTTGCTGATCGGCAATAAAAACAAAGTACAGCTGATGGGAATGTTATTAGATTTGCAAATAATTTGGTTACAAACCAAAGGTATTGACATTTTGAACTAATAATACTGCTATATGAAAAGTTAAGTGTACACATTCATATCCTCTGCTCAGTCAGTAGGATTCATCTTCTTAGAACAGTAAATATCTGCAATGTCATGGCAATCTATCCAATAGATATTTCAGTCTGGACCAAAGTGGTAGACCAACAGACGGCTGGACAGCCATCCCTGGAGCCACACCACTAGCATGGCTAAAAATCAAATTTCATATATTTACATTTGGATTAAAGACATCGAAAGCCTTCAGCACTGAGTGATATCCATATAATTTCAGTTGTTATGAGAGATGTGGTTTCACTGATGTCCAGCTGTTCTGATTCTTATATCATTATTTTATTAATTCACTGACACTAATGGAACTTCACTCATTTCAAGTCATAAAATAAGACACTGCCACACCATCACACTGCAGCCTCGAGGGACCCAGAGGAAAGCACTTCAACTACAGGTCAGCACAAGGTGACATGTTGGGCAGCAACTGGCTGTGACATGTTTACAGTTGCCTTTTAGATACTTTCTATCGTGGTTGATTTTGATTATATCACTGGTCTTTTAGGATATCTGAGTACACACAAGACCTCAGCTCAGACAAACATGGTAGAAATCTTTCAGATGATTGGTAGAGGCAAAATGCACCTAAACACCAAACAATGTTATAAAGCAACTGGGATTTCATTTTTAATAAAACTTCGAAATGGGGTCATAAAGGCTGCTGTGCAGGTGTCCGCAGCAGGGGTACTCTATAGTTATGGATAGATGGACATTAATACCCTGCATACAACAGAACAGGTATGTAACAAAACAGCAGGTAATCAAAAAGTAGATGACAAATTAAAGGAGTACAGACTCCAGGAAGGATACTGATAACAATGAATCTGAAGTGTTTGTGTATGCATGTTTTACGTAGTAGCTGTTGTTTCTCAATGCTCTAGTTGCTAGGAAGCAGAATATTGAGTGTCCGAAGGATATTAATATCTAATATTCAATGTGACTGCTCCTCAGTTCTCACACGAGCCACACTCTGCCTGCTGGGCTGTGATCTTAGTGCCGGAGCAGAAATTAGTCTATTTCTCTGCTAACGGTTCTCAGGATAGAAATTGTTCTCACTGAGAATATATATATGTATACATTTGAATTGAACAATGAGAGACAGTTTTCTGTCTAAAACATAAGCAGCTTACCTTGTGTGCAAGTGTTCCCAATAAATGTTGATTTACAGCTTTCCTTTTCTTCCTGTCTTTTAGCCAAACTGCTGCATGTTTCTTCTCGGGCTCTCTTCAACTCCTCTCTTCTGTTATGGGTAGAACCACTCTATTCTCCTGAGGCACAAAATTAAATGGCCGCAGACTACCATCATGTCTATGTCTACTAGTTTTAGCACATCACTTTCTCCAGTCAATGCGGAGAGCACTTACTCTTACTGTCAAGTCCTCCAAAGTTACTGCTTGATCGAGTGATTTTAGTGAGGCACTGAAGTCATAATTTGGACCCTCAAAATAGCACCACGACTTGATCACAGGCAAATTAAATGTCCGGCTAGGGCTCACATGGCCTGAAGGGTCCAATCCAATCAAAAAATCACTTCCTCAAAGCTTATTTTAGAGTCATGGGCAGTCGACAGTCTCACACTTTCTTGGTATATCTGCTATCTGATCTTGTTCTGCTGCAGATCCCACTCTGTATCCCACATCTAGTGAACTATTGCTCACTGCTCAGCTCTCGTCCTCCCCCTCCCTTTCACGGTGTCACTGTAGATACTTGGCATTTGTAGACTGCGTGCTCTTCCCCTACCAAGTGTTGCACCAGTGCTGGTCAGCAATGCTCAGAGTCGACAGCAACTGGTTTATTCAGGACTGATGTCTACTAGAGAGACCAAATACATATATTTGTTAAACTGGCGTGTCTAGGTTTGATTAGGCTAAATGATTTTTCCCAGAAATTATTTCTTATTCTGTGACACTTTTGCTTGACAGAATGGACTTCACTGCTGTGTAGAGTGACATTTCTTTACAACATCTCGTTCTTTCAGAAAAGCCAAAGAAAAAGTGAACAGAAAAAGATATTATTGGGCCAGATGTAAAATCTATCCATTACGTAGGCATCTATGGAAATAAACAAGGGATTCACATATGTAATTTACTGCCATACTTTGCGAATTTTCTTTATTTTCTAACTAAAACCAAACAGATCATGGAGCAAGGCAGCTTCTGTTGAACGTGTTGAACTAAAAAAAAAAAGGCCATGTAGGCAGTTTTTTGCTGAACATCACTCACCTGTCTTATGTGTGTGTGCATGCCTGGATGAAGTTGTTCCCTTCATTAGTTGTAAACCAAGACTATGAGCCTATAGGCATGTTAATGGATTTGTGATATATATGCACAGTGGTGCTTTGAGCTAAAAGTCATCATGCTCATGTTAAGCAGGTGTAATGTTTACCACATTAACCCAACTGCATTTTAGCTTGCTATTTGCTGCTTAGCATTAAACTCAAAGCACAGCTGAGGATGATGGGAATGTCAGTAGTTTTGCAAGTATTTGTTCATAAATCAAAGTATCATGCAAACTGAATTTTTGACTTATTGTTGGCGCTAGATAAAAAGTCAGGATCACCAAAGTCATTAGGGTATATCGTCTATGAACTATGAATGTCTGTGCCACATTTTGTGCCAATACATGTAGTAAAAAGTGAGAATAATTGAAATGACCTACTAATGGCTCTAGAGAAAAAGTCAGAAATCATCCAAAGTCATTAGGGTTCATGACACTATGATACACATACATGATATCTCTACCAAATTTCAAGGCAATCCATCCAATAGTTGTTGAAATATTAACTAACAAAAATGTAAATCCCCTCATCCTAAGGCCATGCTGCTAGCATGACTTTAAAGAAAGTGTATACAGTAGCGTGACAGATATTTCACTATGGACCAAAGAATAAGACAGACACACTTTCACAGTCACTCAGTATGTCTGTGCAACATAATTAATTTCCAAACACCTCAGATTAACATTTACAACACATCTGAAGGTGGGTTTTAACAGCCTACCTTCACACTGCTTTGCCCAGGAGTCTGGAATCTCTTCGCGTGAGTTTCACAGGACAGAAATATGATCAGTAGTTTCTGGACTGGCCTGACCCAGATTCACTAGAGACCATCATAGAGCAGCGAGATGGATGGAAGGTGTGTATGGCAATATGACGACCTCCAAGGAAGCTAAGCCATGGTGGTCTGGGTATCAGTTTTCTAATTATAATAGGAAATGATATTTGACCTGCTGGATCTGTGTGCAGCAAGACTAGTGTATCTTCATATCTTTTCAGGGGGACAAACATACACATTTGCCTAACATGCAAGATAAGATAATGCAAGTAAGATATGATATTTTTAAAGCAATGTTTATGGATAGTGTTTTTGGTTTCTGTATATCAAAGTAATGTGAACATTTGTGAGGAGTTGACAAGATTCTGTTGAAAGACAGGAAGAGACATCACACTGCATATTTTTCACATTCTGTTTATCTAAACGGTGGGGGCATTTTTTTCACAGCATGAGTAACACTGACTGTTTACAAGACAAATCAGATAAATACTGAATAAAATCTTTAGCAGAAAATGTACTGAATGTAACATTTGGAAGGCTATAACTGTAAATAAATGATAAACCTTTTTCAAAGCACATTTCACACCCTAAAATACAAGGCGGCTCCTGTGTGTGGGTGAGTGTGTGATTTGTAGCTTTACATCTACACTACGTTACTGTTACTATACTGCTGCTATGATGTCAGGCCTGTAAATGGGTTATGCGTTCAGTTTGGAGATTGCAGACCAGATGGGGATGTGAAGTGTACTATTGGGACAAAGAGCCGATAACTCGTACCCAGCGAGTTATTTAAAGGGCTGCCTCACTGCAGTAGGACAAAGTGGACCATGCTCGACCCCACTCAGGATTAGAGCTGCAGCGCTTGATCACACGTTGATCACCTTTCAGGTTATCAGCACACGTTCTCCTGATTCAGTTCAAGTGTGATGTCCTTTGTGGTTATCCCTGTGTGGTACAGAGGACCCCAGTCAGAGCACAGGATGTTTACTCAAAGCTCAGTCAGACATGAGCATAACTGGTTCTGGCAGGACACTCAGGATCAGGAGCATGGCAGGTACTCCTATTATACAACTGTGTAACCGTCTGTTTGGTTCAGTCTCACCAGCAGTCATGCTGTTCATGCTTACTTGCGGTGTGTTTCTGCACCTCCTGCTCATTGTTCTATTATCTATAGCTGTAGGACGTGGCCTGTAATTGCTGTTGGGAATAAAATCAATGTAATTGACCCATTTATCTGCTGTTAACTCCTGTGTTTCATCTTAATAGTACATGTAAAACCTTTGAGCAAGAGCTTGTAACTACTTTCAGTGGGGAGTAGTTTATTACCTCTGGAAAAAGTACACATGTTTTTAAAGAGCTACAATCACAGGCAAAGAGGTGCTGACCCACTGCTGAGTCCAAGAATAAATTTTGACATTTTAATTTTAACTGCTGTGTCTGAAAAGTATGCTCTAAGAAAAGTAGGAGTTTCTTATTTAGTGACCATGTCTTTATGAGCTTTGCTGGTGGATGTGACAGCAAGGAGAATCTTAAGGAGTTACCTGTTTGAAGAGTGACAATGAAAAACAAAATTTTTTATAACTTTCTTAACATTAGAACATGCAGAACAACATGAGCAAGCTTGTCTGCACCAATTCAAATACAACTGTGTTAAACGTAACAACATCTATTTTATCACACTAATGTTAGAGGCAGATGGCCGGCATCCTAAGTCTTTCTGAGTGTTTCCTGAGTTCTGCTCGAGGTTTCTACCTGTTAAAGGGGCATTATGTAATTTTCAGCGGAAACAAGCGCTGCGATTTTAAGATTGCAACCAGGTGTGTGCTCATACGCTTGAACTCATGAGCGAGCATAATCTGAAACACAACCGCTTTCACAAAAAGATCCCATAATAAACGCGGAAACACTGGCATGCAGGCTATGGATTTTCTCCAGACATGCTGAGTCTCAAGGAGGGACACCCCCCTCTTCCCTCTCAAATACTGTAAATCTTTGCACATGTAAATATTATTTAATTTCACATCATTGCACATATGTGGTATATTGCACATATTTGTTGTTTGTTGTTAAGTGTTAATTCATTATCATTCTATATTTTATATTTTGTCAATGTATATATATATATATTTCTACTTGTATTTATGTCAACTGTTAGCAACTGCTCAGCGCAAACCTGCAAGCTAACGTGACTATCTCCGTGTTTCTCCAGCCTTTCTGATGTTCACTGTGTTTTTACTCGACATCATCAAAATCTTGTTTGGTCTGACAGGCTTCAATAGCTGTGGCGTGCACAGGGCTACATTTTGACCAGGTGTCCTCAAATAAGAAGCAGAATAGTGGCTGTTCCAAGCAACAGAAAAAACAGGCGTGTGCTTCATTTCTAAGTGAGGTTAGAGCCATTGACAATAAGTCAGTGAAAATTTGATTAATTAATGAGTGATTTCATTGAAAAACTACATATTGGCCCTTTAAAAGTGACTTTTTGTTTGCCAGTGTCGCCAAGTGTTTGCTCATGGTGGTATTTGGGGTGTCTGTATACAAAAATTACGGTCTAAACTTTCTCTACATGAAAAGTGCAATGAGATCACTTATGTTATGAATTGGTGCTTTATAAATCGAATTGAATTGAAATACATTGACATTTAGCGACACAATGTTTTCAGCTGACATTAGTATTAGCACTTCAGCCATTAGACATTCCAGCTCCTTAATAACAAAGGGTAATATCTTACCCCAACAAGGTAATACTAGAATGATACCAATGTCAGAGTGAATAACCTGGTAATATTAATGAGGCTCTTGATAATGTTGGTGTCTAATTTCTGTGATTACTGTAATGTTATGACCTTGAGATTACCCTCCTGTTTTTTATTTTAAAAAAATAACTATGAATTTGAGGTGGAAAATCTGTCCCTGTTGTCATAGTAAACTGTATCTGTGCAATGATTAGAATGGAAAGCTTCATTCACGTAGCACGTAGGTTAAAAGGAATGGTGTTCCCCGGTATTCCCCTGTTGTTACCAAGGTATAACCCCCCTTATTACCTTGTTATACATCGTAAAGTGATACCACGTTCAATTACAGCAGCCCAGTGATTGATGTTTTTTTGTGTTTTTTTGCTAGAGGTACTGTAGAGATACTCTCTGTTGGCAGCCAACACCAACAAAAACAACCTACGGTGGGGAAGAGAGGCGTTGTGCACTGACCCAACAGAAAGAAATGCAGCATATAGACACAGGACTTTTTTAGGGAGCTGTTCACTAACCTTCCTGCTCCAGTTAGGGAATATGGTCCAGACCAACCTAATCAACATCCTGTCTCATAATAATAAAGTGTGCTCACCTCTGAAAAAGCACAGGGGGACCAGGTTGAATTTCAGGTCCCTCTTCCTGTGAGGCGACATCTGCATTCAGTAAAAAAAACTTTAATCAAACTGTTCTGTCATTCTAACTCATATAAACGTGAGTTTCTGTACCAACCAAACTTTGCTTGTTTGTTTCTGACACATTTTGCTGAAAGCACATACAAGAGTGGACTGTATCAAAGTGCTTCCCCAAATACCAATCAGCCTCATGTGTGTGCCTCCATGCCGAGGCTAGCGTTGCCAAACTGATGTCGGTGCTAAATTTATAGGTGAACAATGTAGGATTCATCCATTGTCATGGAAACACTGACAAATTTGAGTTTGAGCAAACAAATTGCATGTAGGTCACACGCCTCTGGACCTGATTTTGTAACACTATGATCTAAATCAAATTGGGGGGGTGGAGTCCTTGCAGCTCCTCCTCGCAGTTCACACCAATTTGCAAACACAAACACAGATCAGTATCACACATCAGAGGAAAAATAAGCAGAATTGTCATCCTGTCAGCTGTAGTGTGAATGCGACTTAAGTGTATCATCGGGAGAAGCTGGCTGTGCTCACTGATCAGGGCAGCCTCAGTGCTGGTTGCAGTAATTGATCTTTGCATGACTAAATGGGCCACTTATTTTTGCAGCCTGAGCAGGTGCACCAGTGTACTGATGTTTCTACATGAGCCGCTGATCAGTCATGAGGACCGGGAGCGTTTGTAGGCCAGCTTGAATCAGAACAAACCCTGCAGCTGCACACACACACACACACACACACTACACCACACACAAGGGAATGTAGAAACAAAAAGAGAAGTTTATATTTGAGATATTTCCTTTCTTTATTCTGTTTAACATGTTTTAACCACAGTAAATGTCACATTTAGTATTAGAAACACATGTAGAGGAAATAACAGTAAATGAGATTAAAGCCACGAGAGAGCTATTTCTTCTATGTTTCTCACGCTTGAAATTCTAATCACACTCAAACACTTCTGTGTGCATTAGCCCTTTAAAGTCAGTGTAGATTTCTTTCTATTTCTGAAGCAAGAGAAGTTCTTTAACATGATAATTTAGAGAGAAACAAATTGAAAAATCATACACATGACAAACTAATCTTAACTCATGGACACTGCAACTAATGATTATTTTCATTATCGATTCATCTGCCAATAATTCATTTTGATGGATTAGTGCTTATGTCTACAATTTGTCAGAGGATAATGAAAAAGGTCCATCTCAGTTTCCCAGAGCTCAAAGGGGCCTCTTCAAAACACTTGTTTAGTCCGAAACTCGAAGATATTCAATTTACAATTATATAAACAGAATAAAAATAATAATAATAATAATTCTTCCGATCACCTTGCAGATGAATAGTTTAAGATGACTATAAATTCCAGAGGTGCATAATTATATCCATGATGGATAATGTTAAGAGTCAGCTTTCCTCTCTCAAAGTGTCGGCTCATGTGAGTTTCACACGAAGGAGTCAAAGTGAAGGAAAGATGAGCATTGGTTTATAATGAGGTGCGATGTTCCTCTTTAGGAATATGACTCCAAGGAACAGAGCAACATTGAGATTAAGTCTTCTGCAAGGACACTGAGAGCTATGATTTATAATGTACACAGATATCTGGAGGGTTAAACATTTATTATTAAGGATCTATGTTTTCATAGAAACACACTCATAAAAGCTCTCCATGTAACATTATAGATAACTCTAGGTTTACACATATTAAGCATTCAGAGTTAACTGAGGAAATATCTATGAGTAATGTGATGCACGTAACTTAAATGTCAACAGCATGTTTAGCATTGGTAATAAAATGTCATTTAGATATGATTACAAAATGTTTGAGATCTCGATGCTGTGAAACCAGAGTTTCTTCTGATTCTTCTCCTTCTGTATGGCAATTGGTCTGATGTTGGAGGCTCTGCTGAAGTGTGTTGTCACTTGCAGGCTGTGCACAGACCTGATGCTCCACTAATACACCCACGTGAGAACGGCCATCAATGTTTTCCAGCACCAGACTCCTCATTAGCTGCCAGGCTCCAGAGTGCTCAGGTTCACACTGTCGCTGCATGTTGAGAAGGGCTCTTAGTTCAGCTTTCTGTTGACCAGATATCCAAGCCTCACACTGTGCAGATATCAACTCAGCTATATCAACACTGGGGACACTTTATTTTACTGTAAGTGGCAACATATCACATTTGCATATGGATGTCATGAGTTTGGCATGTTCTCCAAAAACTTAATCAGGCATAAACTTCCATATAAACTCTGTGGCCTGTTTTTTATAGGGGCATGAATGCATATGAGTAGATGTGACTAAGTGTTATGTATATTATGTTGTGTGAAAACACATCTACCTCTGGGACAATAAAGACTACATATCTTTACCGAATGCTACTGATAATAAGCCATTAATGCCATTCACACACTTTATAAGTTCTGCTGAATGTTTGTTTCCAACATTGCAGGCAGTTAATTACTGAAGCTCTCACAATCACATATTGTCAGAGGAAAACAAGGAAACATATGTGCAAATGTGCTTTTGTCTTTGGTTCCCAGACAAATAAGGTGCAACTACTTTATTGTCTGTCTTCACATAACTGAATGACGCCAGAGTACAAAATGTTCATACATTATGACTAATTTTTTCATATATCAATAAAACATAGTAACATTTCTTGGCCTTATTTTATTTTGCAGCTCAAATAGTTTTGGTCTTAAAATGCCTGCATGTCTGATTTTGTTTGCAGCAGCTACAGAACAGATTTCAAGTTTTAAAAACAGATAGAGGTACACCAACATGAGTGTGTTTCAGAAGATGCCTCTCTTGCCTCATCTGGTAGAGTAAATGTATTATGCTACATCTAGTGGTGCAATATGTTAATAACAGTTTTTATACAACTGATTTTACACAATTTTAATGAAAACACAGGCAGTGTGTGTCAATAAGTCACACTGTGCATTGTCCTGAGTGAGCACTATTTTACAGTAAACCTTTAGAAAGGTTTATCTAGAAAAGCCAATGTTTGTTGCTCCCTCTAGTGGTATTCTGATGCTTCTCCCTCTCTGTCTCTCTCTCTCTCACACATGCACACACAATCTAGGCTTGTTTTCAGCAACAAACAACAACAAATCAATTTTTTACACAGTACACACTTTTACAAATATATAACACATATTGTAAAACGACAAAGCTTTTGTATCTAGTGTCTTTAAACTGCGCTGACCAAACAGCAGTTTCACTCTGAAACACAGATTCCACCTTCTCATCTTGATCGGATCAAAATGACTCAAACAAATTCATTCTTTCTTGGATGGAAAGGCCTTCTTTTAAACTCTGCAAGTCAAACACACATAGCAAAAATAAGACATAAAAGACAGAGAGAAAGTTCTTATCTCTTGTTAGACAGAAACACTTCACTGTGAGGTTAGGGTTAAATAAGAATTATAAATTGTATATTTGACAGGAACATTTTGAATTTATGACAGAAACCTTCCTTTTGATGCAGGAGCAAGTTTTACCTTTGATCTCACCCCTCTGATCTGACGTGTGAGGGATGATTTCACTGTTTTCTTCAGAAAAGCAGCATTACTTGTGTTTGTCACAGTGTCCTCTGAGAAAGCAAGAGGGTAGGAAGCACAGAGGGAGGGAATTAAAGGAATAGTTCAACATTTTGGGAAATAATCTTATTTGCTTTCTTGATGAGTTAGAAATTGATAAAGGTGCTGGTGAGTGGATTTTGTTACCTTTGGATAGTTTTCATGCTAAGCTAAGCTAATAGAAGCGCTAGCTGTAGCTTCATATTTACGGTACATATGAAAGTGTTAGCAATATTCTCGTCTAACTCTCGGCAAGAAAGCCAATAAGTGTATTTCTCCGAATGTCAAACTTTTCTTTAATGAAATGTTAAATGCTTGAATGTGTGTGCACGTCTCAAAGTAAAAAGTGTCTCACCGAGGCGCTGTCCTAAAGCCTCTCTGCTTGGGGACCAGGTGGCGAACTTGAAATCTTCACAGAGTTTGTTGACATCATGACGGGGTTCATCCTGGCTGTTTGTATAGAGGGCTTTGAGCTTGTTTTGGGCATATATTTTGTCCTGTTACACACACACACACACACACACACACACACACATCAATGTGAAATCATAGATTGTTCTTTAGTTCTAGAAAGATGCTCTTTTCATATAAAGGATAAATATATTATCAGCCATAGAAATAATATGTTTGAATTTGTAACTTTAAAGTTGCATCCTTTACAGACAGAATGTGATAAATTCTATGTATAGTTTTATGCAGTTGCCTTTATCAAGTTAACTTTCACCTTGCTTTAATATGCCTCAGTCTTTAGGTAGATACTAAATGGAAGGAGATGTTTTTGTTGTTGTTGTGACATATTTGCTTTTTTTGTTTAATTTATGTTCACCCACTAATTTCAGCAAATACAAAATGTTTTTCATGTATGACTGCAGAGGACTCTCTAAAGATTATGTTTGCAGTCTAATCTTGTAATCCAGCAAGATCCCCAGAAGTTTAAATAGATTTCAGTACCATGCGAGCAATCTTCAACTCTTCCCTGAGAGAACGAGCTTCCTGTCTGAGAAACTGCATTTCTGCCTCCCTTGCCCGCAGAATCACCTGTAACATAAAATACATAAAAACAGAACAATAAAGTACATATTAGGGTTCTTCAGTAATTTATATGTTGTCTTATAGTAAAAGAGAGAAAGTTATAAGTGCAAACATGTACTATATACCTATATCATTATTCCACCTTTCCCGTTCTTTTTCCTGCACTCTCTATGTACACAAGTATAAATTACCTCAAATTGGATTAATTAAAGATAAAAGATTTGCAAACTGGAAGAAAGAACAGCAACTCAGGCTACATTCAAACTCATGGTGCTAATTAAATACACAGACATAATCACTACTGTCTTGGTAGAAAGAGTTGAACAATTCAATTGACAGATGTTTAGATTGTCAAAGCACTCATTGTTTTCCTGACACTTACCTCCATCTCATAGAAGTCATTTACTTGAGGAGCAACATGTGAATGTTTCCCATTTAGCGAGAAATGTAGCTGATACATTTCATCTGTCTCTCTCTTAAGACAGGGCACAGAGGGAAAAGACACACAGATAAATTCTATACATGTACATCAACATGTTAACTGAACACTGATAAAGATTAGTCAGCTACACTGTCTGAGACAGCCTTTGTGAAAAGAAAATGTGGATACCAGTTTCTTTTTGAGCTCCTGGTTTTCTTTCTGGTACTGCATCAAGGATTGTCTCTCATCTTGCAGCTCGTGGTTCAGCTGAGAGTTTTCCAAGCATTTCTGAGTGTGCTGAACCGACAACACTTCGAGCTCCTTATGCATCAGCTGGATCTCCTTCCTGCAGGGGCAAAGCAGAAGCACAGATCATGGTGTACAGTAAACAGTAAACAGGCAGAGTTTGGGAAGAAACTTTACTGGGAGGAAGAAACAGATACCAGGTTAATACTTGTACTACTCTTACTCTTGTAAATATCTTGACAATATATATTTGAGTGAGTAAAGAATCTATTTGAATATATTAAAAAATGTGTAATTTGAGTTTTTCCCGAATTAAACATGAGGTCACTCTAATCCAGTTTTTGGTCTTATGAAGAGATACACACCTGTGTCCATGTCACGCTCTAGGTATCAGCACCATGGACAGTGACACAGGCCGTGACCTCAGCTGCCACACTTGCAGCCACTTGAGGGCTCGTTAGGCTGTGCTGTACTAACAGGGTCACAGAGGAGACTGCAAGATTCCACTCCACAAATTGGTTGATTGTATTACCGGCTACTGGTGTGGTTTTTGCCTAGTAGTGAGGTCAAGAGGTTTCACATCTGTATATATTTCCATTTTTTCCCCGCCTTTCCCTCTTAAGATTTAATTTTTAAGTGACAAATGGTGAGTTTTGCTATCAAGTGTTACTAATTCATCCATCCATCCATCGTCAACTGCTTATCCTGCGTACAGGGTTGCGGGGGGGGGGCTGGAGCCAATCCCAGCTGACTTCGGGCGAAAGGCGGGGTACACCCTGGATAGGTCGCCAGTCCATCGCAGGTGTTACTGATTTTGTTTTTCAAATCCATCTTGAATTAAAAAAATAAAATAAAATAAAATCCCACTGTAACCCCTGCACCCGCCCCATACCATTTACACTGACTACCAGTTCACTGTGAAAGGACCAGTGGTCACTCACTCATGCTCCATTTGCAGTTGTGTGATGTCAGCACTCTCCTTGGTGTGCTGAAACTGTCGGCTTTTCTCCAGCTCCTGTTTATGGGCTCTCCTCATTGCTACAATGGCTGCAGAAAGATATGACAACTTAGATAACTGTTTACCAGCGTTACCCTGAGGAAGTTCATTTCTGTTCATCTTCAGCTAACGTTCATGATGAACAAAATCTCCCTTTAAAGAGATTTTGTCATTCAACTAATGCAGTTCAACAATTCGGTTCCCATGTTATTACAGAAATGTCCTTTATTCAACACTGCTAAACTAGAGCCCATTGTTTGTCAATTAACTAATATCCAAATCCCCATAAAAATGTATTTTAAAAAAAGAGTGAAACTCAGTGTGTATTGACTTAATAGGACTACAATGCTTTTATTTTTGTATGACTTTCTATCTTTACCTGCCACTGTGGCAGCTGTCTCTTCCTGCAGCAGCTGGTCTTTCTCCTTCAAAAGTGCTGCCACCTCCTTCTGATGCTGCTGCTTTAGATCACCAATCAGCTGCCTGTGCGTTTCCTCCATGGCAGTGCAATCGTCATCACAGGATGCCTATGTTGATATTAAGAAAATGTTCTCTATTGAGGTATGTGTATAAGTAGAGAGAGAACCTATAGTGTTATATGGTGGTAGTGTATGGCAGTTTAATGCTTTTTGATATCATAAAAATGTTTTTTAGCAGTGATGATCAAGTTTGATATTTTGTTCAATATGTTATAAAGAACAAATAGACATGTATAAACTCTTAATACGTTTAAAAAATGTGTAGCATCAAAGATGGGCAAACTATTTGACAATGCTACACTTAAATACTGTGCTTTGACCAAAGGTTTATCTGTAAAAAAAAAAAAAAAAAAGGTACAGTACCATCGATCTTTCTGATTGAATCAGAGACAGACTCTTTCCTGAATGGTGAATTTTCTTCTCCATTAGTGAATCAAATAAATACATTTTAAAGATGTATTACTTAAGAGAACAAGTATCTGAAGAAAGAAGGTCTTTGTACCTCTAGATCTTTCCGGTAAGCCTCTCTTATGGCTGCTGCATCACCTCCCACCTCCTCTTTTGTTTTTCTCTCCATCATAGTCTGGTCTGGCAGGGAGGAGGTACTTTCAGTGAAAGCAGGTGGCTCTGTGTAGGTTTTGGTCTGTTTCTCTTTGGAAACACAAGACTTTATGTAGTAACCATGCAAGTGTTTCATCTCCTCTTCATGGATCCGTTGCAGTTCCCTTATCTTCTCTTGAAACTCTGTTTCCAGTTTTTTCATCCGTTCCTTGTGATAATCCTCGACTTTACGTATGTCTTCCAGGAGTCTCTGGTTCCCAGTTTCTACAGATATTATCTTTTGCTCGGCACGCTCTAGCTCTTCTCTTAATACACTGTTGTCCTCCTGAAGCTGACATAAGGCGTGATTAAAAGCCTCCTGCTCATCCTTTAATGTCAAATCCTCCTCTTTGCACAAAGCTTGTAGTTTGTCCTGTAACACCTCACTTAGCTGCAACTCCTGCTCTAAATCCAAGGCCAGCCTGTCTGACAAATAAATCAACTTTGCCTGCTCCTGCATCCAATTTAAGTCAATTGCGGAAGCATTTTCCCACTTATTGTTCATACTACACTCTACTCCATTGCCATCAGAAATCTCTTGGCACAGTTGCCGTAAGCACTTAGCCCGTCTTTGCAGACGGGTTAGAAGTCTTTCTAACCAGTCTGGGTCTTTCTCTGCCCCCGCCTTTTTGACACCAGCTTCATCCTTTTCAGCTGGTTTTGCAGTTACTTCTAAACCTCTGCACTCTTCCTGCACTTGCTCCTCATAAGGAGCCAACTCTGGGGGATTGATATCTGCCAGACCCTTCCTTTGATGCTCCACATCTTCATTATTTACTTCAGTCCCACTCTCATATTGGTGCTGAAATTTTAAGGCAGCATGAATGAGCTCTGCTTCAGCACAGACTCTACCGATGGCCGTTTCTAAACGCTCATTGTTGTCACATTCGGCTCTCCCAGACTGACTCCTTGATTCTGTTTTTAAGGCTATTCTTTGGGAGATTATGCTTTTGTACCTGTGTGCCACACCTCTACCATCCTCTCTAGGTACTAAGAGTAGTTGTCCAATGCCATGTTGACTCTGAAGGACGGACACCATTTTTTCTACTACAAATAATTCCCTCATTAAACACTTCTCGACACTTTCCATGTCATCCTCTGAGGGCAATGTATTAGTGAGTTTACTTTTAGTGCTAATGTTGTTCTCACCTCCAGCTAATGTCTCATCATTAAGGATCTTGTCCTCTACTTTGCTAGCATTATGTGATTCATGCTGTCGTTTCTCCGCATCTCTCTCCCCGTGCTGAAGGCAGGCAGCAGCCGTGGCTAATTCTCTCTCAAAGTCTGTAATATTAATTGGAGTGACTTGAAGCCTCTCTCTGCAGGCTTGTATGATGTTCAGTGCGACCTGAAACCTGCCAACCAACATCCTGAAGTGGTTTTCTGTCTCCTGTGCAAAGCGCTGGTTCTTCTTGGTCTGACTGTGAAGCAGCAGACTGAGGTGCTGGGCAGTGGCTCGACTCTGAGTGAGCTGGGAGCAAAGGTGGGGGTCCTGGCAGCTGATGTGACTCTGGTGTTCCTCCAGTCTTTGCATGATGTCCCTTAGCTTCTCCTCTGTTACATAAAGCTTGGTTTCAAGTATCTGGATCACAGACATAAACCTTTCTGGGTCATCTCCTGCAGTGACGACAGGTCTTGCATGTTGAACGGCATTTGAGCTGTTGGCCAACTGGCCACTGTCATTTCCAGTGACAAGATCAGTTGTCTGTTGTTCTCTCTCATGTTGCTGAGTAGGCTCCGAGGATTCATCCTTCAGCTGAGAAGAGGCACAGGTGCAAACTTTTAACACTTCATTAAGCTTCACTTCTGTCTCCTCCAAGCTATTGCCTAAGACTTCCATCTTCAGCAACACTTCACTGAGCTCTTGCTCCTTCCTGTCCAGGAGTCTCTCATAGCCTTCTCGTATGTCCTGTGTTTCAGTCTCTGTCTGCTGTACCTTCCCTAAGGCCAGCTGCAGTTCCTCACAAACTCTCTCATATGAGTGCTCAATATTGTAGTAGTGTGTCTCTTCTGTTTTCAAGCGGCTTTGCAGCCTGCTCACCTCCCCATCTGCCTCAAATAACTGGTTCTGCAGCTCTTGACAGCGACGGTCGAGCTGCTCTCTTTCCTCTTGAAGTTTTTGCACAGCAGACACTGTACATGCTAGCTCCTCTTGAAGCTGTTGTCGAGCCTCCTCAATTTCCCTGGTCCAGATCTGAGTCTTATTCAGGCTCCCCATCTGCTGTTCAGCCCTGTCTAGTCTCTCCTGAAGGTCCTGTGAGTGTTGCTCTGCCTGTGCCAGGCTGGCAGCCATGCTCCTCCGTTCTCTGTCCTGACTTGCTTGAAGGAGCATGAGGTGCTTCTGCAGGCGAGCCTCTTTTTGAGCCTGTGCTTCCTCATTAGCATGAAGTTGAGTTGTCATCTCTTGGAGGTGTTTCTGCAAACGCTCCGCCTCCGGCTGGAGACTTTGGTAATTCTGCAACTCCTGCTGCAGCTGCGTCAAGCGCGACTCAGCCTCTGTCCTCTGATCCTCGCTGGCCCTCAGCTGGGACTTCAGGGAGGCCACACAACTCTCCCACTCCATCTGCTGCTCATGAAAAATCCGGCGATCTTGCTCTAGATGGGCTTGTGCCAGCGCTGTAGCATCACCTGTGACCAGTAACTGTGCTTGTTGAGCTAGGAGATCTACTCGTCGCCGCAGTTCAGCCTCTCTGGCTTCCTCGTGACTCCTCCTTTGAGTCTCCAGCTCAAAGCGGAGGTCATGGTTTATCTTCTGCAGTCGCTGTAAAGCCAATGCTTGTTCCGAAGACGAGTTGGGATTTGAAAGAAGATCATTCTACAGGACCACACTGAGCTTTAATTAGGACAACAACAGTTTTGCATGCTAATATTTTAATATAGAATATGCAGTTACTTTTTCTATGTGATACTACATTAATCATAGTATACATGTAACTTATACAACTGTGTAATAATTTAGTCTTTTTGCAGGACTCCATAAATAAATAAGAAAGCAAAACCTAATTCTCTTATATCCCATATTCCCTTTTAACTGTAGAACAATGTGTATTTTCACAAAATGGTAGGGGGCATGACTTCAAACTGACTAGTGCCACTACAAATGTCTTCTGTGCTATACCTGTGGATAAAGCCTTTCTCTTGAGTGACTTTCTTTTTCTTGCTGTAGCTCATCCTGCAGATTCCTGTTCAACTGCTGGAGTCGAGACAGTTCCTTCTGCATTTGTTCCAGCTGTAGAGAAACAGTAACAAACTGTCATGTATTCAGGTGCATTTCTGATTCTTACGGCATTTCTTTCAAGACTGAGTTGCTTGTTATTTCTTGCTTGTGACGCCTTATTAGTTGGTTATGGCAGAAAAAAAAAGGAAGAGTTTTTTCTTGATTTCTTTGTGGCGGAACTACTACTGCACACACACACACACACACACACACACACACACGCACTCACACACACACACACCCCAACTCTCTATGTGATCTCACCTCTTTGACAAGTTGCCCAGTTTGTTGCTCACAGGACAATTTTTCCTTCACTTTCGTGCGCTCACAGGTGATGTTTGTTGACACTTGTTGCTCCTCACTCTGGGCTGTTGTTTGAACTTGCTGATCGATTTCACTCCGCATGTTTGAATGTTCGTCAAAACACTCATCTTTTGACAGCATCGTTGTGGAAGTAGAGCTGTTACTTCCAGCTCCTTCAACGCACAATGATGCATCCGCCACACCTGCAACAGAGGGTTTAACGCAGAAAATAAATATAGTGCAGTGCGACATGTACTGTAACAATATGTAGACATGAAACACTATGTCAGTCTCTGTCTGTTTCCCTGTGGAGTAAATGTTTGGTATGTGATTTAGAAGCACCCTTAGGTATAGAAGTAACAGTAACCTCTACATCACATTTCAGTTTAATTTAAAAATCAATTACTAAAGAAAATCTGCGATGACATTGTTTTATCTGACTCATTTTGCTCAGTGACTGACCAGTCTGTGTGGCCGCAACAAGAAGCGTACACTGATGACAGGAAGCGCCTTCACCCTCCTCTACCTGCCGTGGAGGACTGATGGGAGACAGAGCAGAGGAGGCGGTGGGTGAGATGGGGGAGGATATATAGGAGGAGGAGATCAAAGACGATGCAGAGCTCTGCTCCCTCTCTGGCTGCAGCTCCTCTTTTTCCTGCTGTTGCTTGGTTTCATCTGCATAGTCACTGGTTTGGTGTTTCTCTTGAGTCTTCTGCTCTGAAAGGGAGCTGTGAGAAAACTTCTTTAGACTATATACAAAGGGTAATTTGCAAGTATGTTCAGCTGTAAATTGGCTTATTAGGAGTTAAGGTACTTCATGACGTAAACCCCTAAAGCCAGATACCTAGAGATCTGGAACAGTATAATACATGGTATGTACAAATCTGACACCAATCATGCAGCACTTGCAGAAATAAAACATAACAACTCTGTTTACCTTGTGACGTCAGGTGTAAGACTAGGCCTCACATTCTTCAACACTGCTTGAACCCAGTTGCGTCTCATCCCAGAAGTCATAGCACAGAGAGTGTACACTCCGTCTCTGGTCTGTGAAAAGAGAAATATCATTCATTACACACCTTAAAGAAGGTCGGGGATGCGTTGATTTCTAAAACTGGTTTCCAGTTGAATTTACGGTCTTTCTCACAGTTTATCTAAAATCTTGGATTACTTTGACTTATGTTGGGTAATATTGAAGAAGCTTGACTCCTGCTACCCACCTCCCTTTACTAAAAAAAAATAAATAAATAAATTCTATAGGATTTTTTATTTATGTCAAGTGATGAAATGTGTGTTCTTTAGCCTTCTTTCATATAATGTAACATGCTGTATAGAAGAATTAGATGTGCATAGTGGATCGTTATTGGTATGTACAGTATAAAGGAATAGGTGTTATTTTTATCAGGTAATTGCAATGGCATCCAGAACCAGACAGAAAAAAAATCACTAAGAGTTTATGTTAAATATCACATACTGTAAAACTACAAGAATGCCTGTTTTTTAAGAGTTGCTTTGGTTCCTCTTATTTTGGGAAGCGTGCAAGAGATATTTCCTGCTCTGTCAGGTATTCCTTCAACTTTTCCCAACAAAACACTGTACGAGCAGGCAGTTGACAACAATTTAGTTTTTATGCCACGCAGAGAATTGCAGACAAGCATATAAAGCTCGAGAAACACCAGAAAAGAATGCTAAGTTACAGTAAGTATAAAGTGTCTTTGCCTTCATTGCAACTGAAATCCAGCTAAGATTGTATAGAAATAAATAATTCACAATATAAAGAGGGAAACATAGGAAGTGGGGTTTAAACATTTGAGTAACACAAACCAAAAATCAACCTTTTCCAGACAGAATACCAGTGAAAAGCATCAGAGAGCCTGTATAATTTGCCAACACAAAGTGCTTCTATGGGTCCACACCAAACAGTCTGTGCAGACTGAAACATTCCTGGTAGAAAAGCCAAAGTGCGTACAGTCACAAATGAGCTGCTGATCCATTCATCGACCAGCAGTGTCAACCAAAAGCAATGCCTAAAGATCCTTGATTCTGATTGGTTAGACACTACCATGGACTATATGGCCTTTCTAACTGAAGTAGCTGAATTATTTTATTTTATTGCTCTAAACATTTAATGAGCCATTAATACATATGTGGGTAACAATGAAATCACAAGAAAATAAATCTACAAAACTGTTTTTAAAATACACCAACATCTGCCTTCATCACACTTGGCACATTTTATAGCGCACATGTGATTTAATATATGTTATCAGACTCAATGATCTTTATGTCTTTTTCACTGATTTGATTGTAAATTTGAGCAACTATTGAACTCACATGAATTTGAAAACCACAGTTCTTCTGATCTGGGTAGTCTGTGATGTCATAACATGTGGACAAGTTTATCTCACCGTCCACATCAGCTGCCTGAAAATCAGGGAACAAAGCAGCTTAGGGCAAATATCTGTAACATAAAGCTAGACGTTCACTCACAGTTAATGTTGAGTAGAGAGTCATATGTCTGGGTGTCTGATGTCACATTTGAAGAGTTTGTCTTTTTTTGTTTTACCTATTTAAGTTTGCTAGGATCAATCTCCATACTGGCAGACATATGAGCTTCTTCTTCAACTCTAAAATTACTTTTTTTTATCATTTAGCATAGTAGAATATAGCAGGATACCAGCGCACCTCCTCGGCAATTGAGTCTTTGTAGAACCTCAGGATTTGGCCAGTCAGGACAAACCAGTGTTTCAGCCACTATAGGAGACATATTCATAGTCAAAGCAGAACAAGATTATCAGCTCGTCCGACCTGTAATCATGCCACTGCTTCTCAAAGTTTAAGTGACAGTGAATTGACCAATTCACCTGTCCAGATGCATCCTGTCGCATCATCCATCCTTTCTTAAAGTTGAGTAGGTCAGGCTGAAGAAGAAGCAAAGCGTCTTACGCAGCATACTAAAGAAATACTGTATCTCATAATCATTGATACTGTTGAGTATCAAAAAGGTATTATCCACAAATTACATATATTACTTTATTGATGAACATCATCATTTATATGTGATATTTTTGGGTTTTAAACACCAAAGCAACCAAAAATAGTCAGCAGACTCAAAGATGCAGAGGGATCTAGTTAACTCCACTACATGCAGATCTTCATTAGTAAAAGAGCCAGTGTTTGTGATAGATCGTGAACAAATCTTAAACTTTTTGGAAAATGTGTTATGATCAGACTCACAATGGCAGAGGTCTCAACATCTCTGCACTCAGGGGATTTGGGCCGGTAGTAACGAGGTAGGAACGAGCCTGAGACATCAGGAGCAGAGTGTTTCAACTCCTGGCACAGAAAAGAGGGTAAAACTGACGCTAAGGTTTTATGTTTTTCTTTAAAAATAATCTTCTCTGTTTAAATGAGTCACCATTAAGTTACTCATTTAGGGGGGTTGCTGTTATTTTGTGCCCAAAAATGACACAAGTCACAAGGTACAGCAATTAGTATTTACCTTCTTATGTGACAACTGAATGAGACAATATTTTAATAGTGAGATAAACACGGTAAGCTCAAACTCCTGTATGCAACTGAAGTCTGAAAGTTTTACACAAGGATTCTACTTACTTTACTTAATGCTCAATTTTGAATCACATTGATTTCTACGTCCACAATCACCTGTTTGGTATTCAGAATTTCTAAAATATTACTAAAAACTGTCTTTCTACTTTTTTATCAGGTGATTTTTTTGATTTCCTATATATTGCCTGCCCTTCCATACCCTGATGACTTCCACTTCATTAAACTCTTTGAGGTTTAATTTTGGCAGCAAATTCTAAAGAATTTTTATGAACATTATTTTTCGCATGACAAAATACACACATTGCTGTGGTATGAAAAGGGCATGAAACATTAAAAACACACAAACCAACAAAGCCTCATCCTCAAGTGCGCTGGCACAAATGCATACAGAAAACATGCACACAAATTAAAAGGTAAACGTAAATCCCTGTACTGGCTCCAGATAATAGTACTTCTTCATTAAAAAGAGGCAATGTTGTCTGCTTTTGGAATTTAGAGAAGTAGCAATGTAAGGTCAATAATAAATATATCTGAGATGCTTCTTTCTTAATGGCTAACTGAACAGAATCAGCAACACATTGTTTGATAAGACAGTTTGATAATCAATGCACAGAAGAGACAATATCATTTAAATAAATGGTGAGTAGCGCAGGGCCCAACATGCAGCATACCTTCAGTGACCAGCAAGACACAACCACACACTTCTGCTTGTCACACTCATGTCATCTTTCTTATTGTCTAGACCAGTAATCAAATCATTTGAAACTAAGATAACAGCTGAGACAGAACCATGATTGGCTCTGAGTCTGAACTGATGTGGATTTAGTGCTTCATTTGGCTTTTAAGTTAACAAAGTTTTTTTGATAAGCAGAACAGCAAAAAGATCAGATTGCGGCAGTGTCCACCTTTATATGGACGGACTACATGAGTCCGTTCCAATCGACTACGCAAGAATAGTAGTGAACTAATTCTTATACGTCTGTAATATGCTGATTGGTACAGACAGACAAAAGGATAATGCCGCCTAGACATCTCTGGCCTGTAAAAGCCTTCAGTCCAACATCATGTAACAGATGACAGTTACATAGATATATCCCTATGACTTATGTTTCATAAATGCACATTAAAGGTAAAACTAAAAGTACCTGTTTCTTTACTTTGTTGCAGTGATGATGACATTCAGTGGTGGAAACCAAATACAAGGAAGACTCCAGAGTCTCAAAGGAGCTGCTTGCTTTCATTTTCTCAGCACTGTCACCATGACACTGGTCTTTGTTGTCCCTTTAATGATAAAAAATGTAAACGAAACAGATTGACAAAACTGGTGACTACAGATCACTAACATTTATCATCCATTTTAAATATAGTTCAATAACAGCATTTCAAAGAGCAACCATAAAAAGCTAAATACAGGAGCATCTGAAATTATAATTTTTTTTAAGTTAAAAACAACAACAAACCTGATTTGGTCCTCAGCGGAGGACGGTTGGCCACAACGCAGGGCTTTCTCTTTTGTGGATAGTCCTTTTTTTACTTGTGAACTTGAAACTGCATGGTCTGAATCTGTTTCAGAGACAGCAGTAAAGAAAAGAAACAACAGCTGTATATACAAAATTTGCCTTTGTTGTGGTGCAATTTAAGAAAAAAATAAATAAACAGCATAATGAAAAAACACATTAAAATGTTTCTTACTCTGTAGGACTCTAACTCTGATGACTGTAATATAACTTCATTTGAACAGACTATATTAATCATGAATAAAATTACCGTCTCCAGCGGATCTTTGGTCGAGTCTGTTAAGAGAGCGGCTGCTTCTCATGAACGGAGCGGCAGTGAGAGAGGAGGTGTGGAGGGATGAAAAGCTCCGGCTGCTGCAGAGGCGCACAGCTGGTCTGGCTGGATGAGATGCTTGTCTGGTACCCTGGTGGCCCACACAGACTTGGTTGCTGAGGCTGCTCCTTTTCAAAGTGCCACCAGCCTTACTGCCACCAGAAATCGAGTCACTACCTCTGCTGCTGAGGCTCTTGCTCCTTCCATAACTAACATAACTGGTTTTAGACGTACTGCTGCCAGCCTGTTTACCGCCACTAGATACAGGTACTGTTGATGCCGCTGGTTCCTTTGGGAGAGTGAAAAAGAGAGCAAGAACAGAAGCTAAACAGTGATAATAAGTCTAAAAAGACAGACTTGTATGGTTGTCAGTTTTGGGGATGCTAATTTTTAAAAGTCAAGCATCGCACCTTCTGCTCACCCCCATCCCAACTTGGACTCTTTAACACATACAATCCAATCACCACGGGAGAGAACCTTTAAATCCTCACAAGAGCTCTTAATTTGCTTAAGTACCATCTGACCGACAATGTGATCATGGACAAACACACACACACACACACACACACACACACACACACACACACACACAAACACACACATTAAACTTAATCACACTTGAGCATTGGAAAGCCATCAGACATAGGCAGTCTATTCCAGTCTCAGGAGATGCAACCTCACCAACTGCAGAGGCAATCAATCTGTGGCCGGACCACAAGACAGAGAAATCAATTAGAGGAGGCTCGAAGAGTCCTGACTTAGCGACTTGTGCAGGTTTTTACTGCGCTGACTTGATCTTTGGCCATTAATGGCTACATAACTCAAACCAAATGCATACACGTCCAGTAAAAAAATATGCACCCACTCTGAGGAAATTGTGTCCACATTAAATGAACACAGAACATTGTTAATATAGTTAATATAATATAATTTTAAGCCCTTTTACATACACATTTGATATTATCTATTCTGCTTGAGGAAAGTGGACGATGTACTTCAACCCTTCTTAAACCAGATAGCAAAGAGTGAGCTTCAACACTAATAAAAAGGGGAATCAATGATTTTTCTGTCATTACTGATAAAAAAAACAACAGCAAACAGGCTGAGCAGATGTGTCAAATTCAGCACACTTTGTCTTTTTTTCCCACCACAAAATTAAACAACACCCTGAAAAATGTAAATTTTCTCTGTTTCTGAATGTATTTGTTGTGGTAACATGTTAACTGAGTTGATGAGTATGATTCAGGGTTTAGACACTCACATGTCTTTTGGGGATTGTATTTGAAGGGCCTCACAAGATCCAGGACATGATTTCACAACTCAAAAGAATTTTAACAAAACTGCTTTGCTGCAAATCATAAACTTGGAACAGATGATTTAGTCTTTATTGTCTCTTTTTGAATCTCTCAGTTCTTTTTACAAAGGTTGTGTTTTAATTATACTGGAATGACATGCCCTTTTAACATATGCTGACAACAGCTGTACATGTTTTACACTTGTTCAAATGTGTTTTCCAGCACAGCCGAGCAACAAACCTGGTATACCGGGGGGGGATGGGATACATTTTAGGAGAATGAAAACATAAAGTAAGTCATATTCAACCTGCATTTTTTAAAGTCTTCTGAATGTGGCACTCACCCTCCCACCTGTCTTCTGTGTAGGTTTATTGGTCTTAGAGGTCTCATGCCACCTGTTATAGATAAGATTAAGACTGTTAAGCACAAATCACCCTGCACTTTCAGAAAACAATTATTTAGTGCAGGTTACAATGTTATTATATTTGATTTGGCTATATTCAAAGATGTATATATTTACAGAAAGCATTATTTTACTGGAAGGTGTCAATACATTCAACCATATTATGTTCACTTGTAAGGCAGCTCGTGAACAGCTTGTGGGTGTAGCCCAAGTTAATTATTACTCTATGTGTGTGTGAAAAGAGTTTCAGACTAATTCAGATTAAACGCTAAATTCAAGTTATTGGTTATTTTGATTCCCTTTATGCCAACCTGACGACGCAACGAGACATTTCCCAATTAGCCTTTAAAAATTGCAACAAATTGTCTTTTTTTCTTATTTAGCTGCTTATGACCCTGCTTGGGAAGCTGTAATTAGTTCAGAGGAGATGGAGGGGCATTTTACACAAAGTAAATTAGCACCCAGAGTTAGGAGGATGGTGCCAGCAAATATGATTTGGCAGTCTTGTGAGTGTAATTTAGAAGCTACGCACAAAGTCCAAGGATCTGTACCACATGTGACTCTCTCGCATCAAGAAAGAGAGAATTAACACCCTGTTGAGTGATCACATGTAGAAACAGAAGCTACAACATAGTTATTAGAGTGTAAGCAAAAGTCAAACTTCTGTCCATAAAGAACTGTACATGCTCACCTTTCTTTTCTCATTATGATGTTACTCACATACTTTGTTTTTATTAAGATCTTATGGTCACAGCAGTGTTAATCTTTTAAAATAAAATCAAAGCAATGGTTTCAATGTTTTATAGGAAACAGCTTCATAAGCTTACCTTGGCTTCTTGGACATCATTTTTAGCACTCACAATGAAAGAACCTGAATGAGACTTTTAAGATAAACGTAAGAACTTCTGGCTGATATTGTCATCCATCTTCGGAAGAGGTGCGCTCCCTCTCACTCTAGCAAAAAACAGGGAGAGCAAATCACGAACAGGTCCATGCAACAGTGTCCCAAGGAAACACACACACATAATCCCCTACAGAGTTGACAAACTCCATTAGAGTTTTGCAGGATTAGGCCAACAGTTTAACAGGATTACTACACTGTAAATGTAGTGAACTTGACGTACCTGCCTACAATGTCTAGAAATACTCCAAATGTCTAGTTTAAATCAAGACACAGCATTTAAATTACAAGAGCACAATCCAGAACATTAGTGGAGAAACACACACAGCGACACAGCTATCACTCTGTGTGTCTGTGACCGGACCTGAACTATCAAAACTTCTTTCTTAGATACATCATGTTTATACACCAAGAAATCAATTATCATGCAATTAGAGCTAATCTGTACCTATAACCTATATGTAACCTATATTAGCCTTCTAAATGTCTGTGTTAAAAAAGTGTCAGACTGAGATGGAAAATGATTAGGAAAATACAGCATATCAAAACAAACACAAGTAGAGGTAAACAAAGTAAAGTAAATTCCTCCAGTCAAGACCAAGGTAGAAATGAGGTGATCACATTGGCTCTAATTAATGCAAGGCTTACACACAAGAACAGAAGATGCTTCAAAGACAAATAACAACTTACAGTCTGAAACTGATCATCACAGGTGGTTCTCAAACTATTTCTGTCCTGCTCCCCTTCAGAAGATGAAAAAGGTTCATGCGCCCTACAGCACACATAAATGTATTGAATTCTTATTAATCGTTAACACTATTGGGGGAGCAACAAATAAAAAAGAAGCCAAGTTAAATTCGATTGAATTAAAAGAAAGAATTCAGGTCAGCATGATAGCATCAGCAAACTATCTGTTAATTTCCCTGCATAAATCACATGCAGCTTACCTCCCTCATGTTTGAGAACCACTGGATGAGGTCTCAATGGTAGTTTAATATTGTAAAACATGCAAATGTGACACGCCCTTTTATCAATGACATTTACACTTTTGTTTATCTTTTTATCTTTTTTTTAAGTTCCACCCAAAATGGGTGTTTCTTTAGCCAAATCTCAACCCGTAAAACTTGCCTTTGGACGATGTAACTAAACCAGCCAACGTTGAGAATTAACCTCGTTGAAGTTGGTTTTATTGTAGTTAAATCGGAGAAACGTTATGATAAAACTTCACTTTCAGATCCTACTTCTATTTTCCCACGAGACTTCAATGTAGCACATTAAATGTCTGCTTCTTCCCCTCACGTATTTTATTATACCTACCTGTAACAGTAACGTTAACTTGTTATGCAGTTCTCTTAATCTTTAAATGTATCTACCCTGTTTTCCTCTCTAACAACACCGGCGTTGATTGGCTGGATGTCACGTGACCTCACAGCTGATTTCGTTTGATGAAGTGTTTTGCTTTTGCCGTTCATCGTTTCACGTAGCCATTTCTGGTTAGCATCTCTGTAGAGTAGCACAGCTATCACCGCTAGCTCTAACAAACTACTATGGCACAGGCAGCCCAGGCAGCTGTCTTCGACGCGAACAACTCTCAGATCCAGGTGGAGCACGATAAAAAGCGCCGGCAATTTGTTATAAGACTAAATGGTAAGTTCGACATGTAAACATTAGCATGCTAGCTGGCTAATGTTAGCCCAGAGGTTAGTGAGGGTTTCCTTGCTGCTAACATCGTCGCCGTCTCATAATTGAGAACTCCAGCTGCCATTTCAGACAAAGAGGGGTTATTAAGGTCACATAGTCGCGATGTCACGTTTTTATTTATCTATTATTTCGTGTTAGGAAGTGAACAGACGACTGTGCTTTGACTTGTAACCTCACCAGCTTGTTGTTTTTGGCACGACGAAAAACATTTTCTTCGTTACCTAATACCTGAAAGCAAATGTGCAACCTTCAATGGAATCCACTCACTAAAGACAGTTTAATAGACATCCCTGAACATAAATTATTATTATTCAAAGTAAAGTTCCCTTATAAAAACTTAGTTTCTGTCCCAAACCATTACAAGTTAGGCTCAAATCATTTGAAATTCCTTAATTAAACACGCACTGACTTTAATGAGTCAGGCCCATATGTGTTGTGGCATTTGATTTTGTTTAAAATAAATTACCCTTTGTTTTTGGCTTTAAACTTTTTTAGTTTATGATAGACTGAAATGGAGATGTTTAAAAGTGTCTTAATGTTTGTGCATATATATGCATGGAAGTTATTTTTGATGATCTTGTGCTTTACAGCTGTGTGAGCTGTGTATACTGCAAAACAGTGGAAACCATTGTTCCCTGAATGAAGATATTAATCAGTCTCTGTCCACCCCACTACATTATCCTTCCCCACAAGCGCTTGTCTGTACACGGCTAGGCGATGTGTTATTAACTTTAAGTTAAAGGCTGTTGACTGTGGCACCACTTCGCATGGTATCAAACCAGTGACCCTCTTGTTTTGAAGTGACTGAATGCTCACTGATTTTGTCATGCCTTGTCTTACTGATCATCATTTTGCAATATTACATGTAGATTACAAGCTGGTACTGCAACTTGATGAATAACTGCACTCATCTTTGAATGCCAAGACTTTATAGTTAATTCAAGATTGTGATGCATGTATGAGGCAGATGCTACACGTTGTGGTGGATGTCGATTGTCACAGTGAGCATTTATAAATAAGTTAAAATAGGTTCAGCCTCAAACATTGACACATGCAAGTATTATCAGTATCCCCTAGCAAGGGGATGTCAAGCTGCTGTGTGTAAGCTGTAGGCAGCTGGGTTGGGGTGAAGAGAGAGTTCACACAAATATGAGCAACAACTTCTGTTTGCCCTCAGGATCTCATGATCGTGCGGTTCTTCTGTATGAATATGTGGGGAAGAAGACGGTGGACTTGCAACACACCGAAGTTCCAGATGCTTACAGAGGGAGAGGAATAGCCAAGCACCTGGCCAAGGTAAAACTCACGTAATTCAATATTAAAATCAATCACCAGAATGTCCATATAAAATGCTCCTTGATAAAAATGCCTGCCAGAACAATTTAGATGTGATTGTACGCTTCTGTGATGGCAGGCAGCCATGGATTTTGTGGTGGAAGAGGATCTGAAAGCCCACTTGACCTGCTGGTACATTCAGAAATACGTCAAAGAGAATCCCCAGCCTCAGTACTTTGAACATATTTATCAATGACACCTTCATGGCTCCGACAGAGAAGAGAAGGCGAAAGAGACTCCCAGGGGATAAACACTGTGTGACAGCATGCTTTGGAGTTACAGGCAGATTTAACACAAGAAACCTTCCAGGCATTGTTAAACATGACATTGAGTGACTCCAGAGACAACTGACAGCAAAGACATCTCTCAGCTGAACGTTGGGTCGACTCACCAGAAACAGGAAGTGAATTAGCTGGTCTCGACTTGTAAAAACATGAGCAAATAAACTAACCAAAGCTGAAGCCTGTTACCTCAAGACAGAAATCTTCAGGGTGTGTGTACCCATCAATGACTGGAAGCAAGGGTTAGGCGTGTAATGAGAACAGATGTGAGTCAAATCTTACGTCGCAAACTTTCTGTCCTCCTCACTAGTTGGGAGCAGCGCTACAAGATGACCGACCCAGGTGTCTTTCTCCATGATAGTTTGGATGGAAGCAACGAGTGCTTCACTAATGCTCAAACTGTGATGACTTTTATATATTTAGACCCCTTTTTTGATATTCAATGGCTTTGTTTTTTATGTAACTTTCAATTTCCACTCCTCTCTTAGAAATTGTGTTTCTTACAGCTGAAATGCTAATTTCGTAGGCTGTGAATGCTAAACGCATCTTTGAAACATCAAGCTACTCAAAAGAGGCATTGTTTTCCTGGGTAATTGGAAAGAGGTAAAGGCATAAATTTAGTAGGTAATGGGTCATTTAAAAAAAAATATATATAATCTTATTTTGAAGACATCTATTTGGTTCCAGTGTTACTCTATTCACTTCATTCTTCCCAGTAACAGAAATATGCTTACTGTCCATTATTGGAGTCGTACATTGACTAGTCAAAGGTGCAGGGACTTGTAAACCAAAGAACACAAACTGAGGATGTTTAACTGTTCAGATGCAATCCTGAAGAAGCCTCAAGACAAAACTCATTATTTTCTCCATTGTATGTGTTAAATGTTAGACACAAGCATGTGATAAATTGGGCCTCAAGCTTGTCACTGTTTGGTACAGCGCCTCAGTGTGGATATGGATAAATAACTGTACTATAACCAGCATTACAAAAACATCACTATTGTATTCAGGACATTTGCATTTTATTGGTGTCCACTGTCCGAAAATGACACTGGACCTTTTTTTATTTCTTACCCTCAAGGCTTGTTTCGCAAGCTGATGTCAAAATAATAAAGGTCATCATGGAAGAAAACTTTTACTCCAAAAAAAACAAAAAACAAAGGATTAATGCGGTTTCCCTTTTTTGGCTCTTCTGGAGATTTTGCTGTTGACAATCTTAGGTGTCGAGGAGATAAATACCTCAGGTTACACAACACACTCTGGCAGGACAAACATCAACAACTGTATGATTTAATCACTTTGGAAACCACTTTCCCTTTGTAAAACTTTTCTTTAGGTGACATGCACCTATTGGTAGACCCGGGTATCCAAGATGGTTATTTTTTGTGTGTTTATGTTAAGATTTGTGTGTTTTCTTGAGAGGAAGTTTTGACCAGGTGTCAAATGCGTCAATGTACCAATCCTTGTTTAACTGTTTTGTGCTTGAGACTTGTTTTTTCATTCTTGTCTCTAAATAAATACATTAAATACTCATCACATTAATGTCAAAGTATGTATTTATAAATAACGGAGGAAGCTGCTGATACAGCCGACTTTAGAGAGATTTGATACTGCACAATATAGCCAGCAGCCAGGGTGCATTTATCGTTGTTTGATAGTTAACATACATAATAACAGAATATTATATTAAGATATTGCAAGAACATGTCTCAGTGGCGATTCAATATTTAATTTGTTTGGAAAATACCTCAACATTTCTGTAGTATAAACTCTCATTCATGGCGCCATCTGGTGACAGTATCAAGAATGACATCGGCAGACATGGTAATTCAATGCAATGGGATCATCAGAAAAATGAGCAGTAGTTGGATTCCATTGTGATTTTGATCCATTGTGTTAAGTGTAATTTAGCACAATGAGAACACACAAAAATATAGTTGTTTTTTCCACATGTCACTCTGTTAGTTTCATCTCACCATTTTCAGTCTTGTGTTGCTGTACCAAGTCATATGTGGTAAAAACTCTAGCTGGGGTGACATCATAAACAGAAGTCTGTGGATTTGGTTGAGTGGCCCACAGCCTGTGTATCAATCATTACACCACGTGAAACCTGTGACTCAGGTTTGTAGATACTTGAGAATAATAAATGTGACCAAGCATGGTCCACCACCAGCAAAACAAAACACACTGAGGCTGTGTCATATTTTGTGCTGTTGGGTGAACGCTCCCCATCAGATGGGTGAGGCGGAAAGAAATCTGCTTGCTTAATTCGTGTTTGAAAGACATCCAAAGCCTCCAGGACTTTTATCAACTCCAGTACATCTGGTTACTCAAGAAGACCCAGAAGAAGTAGTCTCGGTGAAGTGAGGTGTAGCTCACAGGGCTGCAAAGATGCGTGCTACCTCAATCTCCACATTTAACCAGCTTCCCATAAACTCAAAACACAAACATGTAGAAACTTCATGTCCAAAGTCCTCTTGAATGACCAGATTTTTCACTAGGGCCATAGCTACCGTTGCGGACACTGAGCTCATGTCCTCTGTATATTTTCTTGGAATCTGGTTGGTTTAGGGACCTCGGGGGGAGTTTTTGATCTATAATTAAAAACCTGCCAATTGAAGTTATTTTAATGGGTGATTCCAGTATGTTCACACTGAATATAATTAACGGAAACCTAATTAATAAAGGACTAATTAATTTTACTTTCTAAAAAGTTAGAAAAACCTCGGTTGTAACTTCCCTCCATTATTGATTCATCATGTTTTCATTAGTAGATTAATAATTAACACTGATTAAACATTTACCTGCCAACATAAGCACGTTCTGTATCTCCAAATAGCCCACATCAGTTGAAAGGATTCTTGATGGGATATTAAATGGGCTATTTGAGGTCCCCGAGGGGGCATGGCAGTTCGAACAACCATGGTTTAAAAATCTCAATACTTTATTGATTGGCTTTGTGTTGATAGAGCCTACATCCAGGGGAGTAGCACTTGGTGGGGAAAAAGGGCACTGAGTATGCATGGCCCTCATGTGAGGAGGCCCCGCAGAGATACAAGAATGAATAGCCATGGATGCTGGGAGGGGCCCATCGAGAATGTCTATGGACAGGGTCCAGAATTTTGTGCTACGTGACCCTGCCTACATCGTGCATGCGTCATTTTGCTCCCTGGATGATAATGACACTGTTGCAATTGTTGTCACAGGCGCAGCATTTGGTTTCAGCTGATCTCACATCCCTGAACGCTGCCATTATAGTTGTTACATCAACAGCGCTTCAGGTTACAGCACCTGGACAGGCAGGTCATACTAGTGCACGGGAAAACAGGGGCAGAGCGGAGGGCACAATATGAGTGAGTACCATAGACTGTATAAAGTGAGTGCCCAGAAGTCTACAAACGCAAACCCTATTACAAAACGAGGTGGTTGGGACACTATAAATAAATAACATTACATGTTGTATGATGTATGCAATCTACAAGCACAGATATCAATTTAAATATATAAATGGCTCCTCTATTTATTTTATATGCAATTTTGATAGTTACTTAATTAATTATTATTTTTAACAGACATACCTCCGTTCATTTGTGTCAGATTTATGGTGTGACCTCTCAAACGTCTATGCGCTATTATAAAAAATACGTAACGGCAGGCGCTCAGTTTGTATAGCATCATGGGAATCGTAGTCCCCATTCGGGTCCAAAACACGCGTCGTTTGCATTGACAGACTACATTACCCAGAAGGCTGGGTGCCGTCATACGTCAACTGCAATCACGGTTGTATCTCCAACATGGCGTCGCTGGGAAGGAGGCGCGGTGTCCCAGTAAGCAGGGAGAGGTCAGTTACTCCACTTCATGGCCATTAAACGAAAATCTTTTAATATGATGTATTGTTTTGTCGGTGTCACCATTCGCCAGACCCAGAACGTGCATATCGTTTGGGGTGTAAAGTTAAACGCCAACACGACAAATCGGATTTTTATCCCATGGTTAGCTAACGTTAGCGGGCTAACGTGCACTGCTAGCTAACGTTAGCAAGGAAACAAACTAGCAGCTCATGTGATGTTTTGGTTATTTCACAGTTTTTCCCGGTGTGAAAAGTCGCGTTTATAGGTGCGTGAGTGTGAACACTGGTGTGATATACCACGACTCACATGCTGCTCACTCCTGGCTGAGCTGACATTGTTGTCCGCTGTGTTTGTCGACCTGTTTTGAAAGTAATACGGTCCTCAACTTAGCTGACCAATGCTCCAACTTTCTACGAGTTAGCCAGTGTTATCGAACCGACGCTAAGGTACATTATGTCCCTTTCACGGTGATCCTAAAATAATTTTCACTAGTATGCGACACGCTTTCATATTATTTACCCCCTTAGCCAATTTCCCCGCTGTCTTTGAAGCCAGCTGAACTTTGTATCTATCTAGACATTGGGTTGTTTGCCATCTTGCCAACATGAAGCTACTTGAAGGCCTCAGACAGTTGACACTGATCCACATGTGTGTGTTTGGCATGTTTAAGACCATTTACAAATAAGTTGAATCATTTCAGTTTACAGGTGTGTTGATACCGAAAATATTAGTCGATTAATCAACTTGACGATCAAAAGAAAATAGTAAATTGGTATGATTTTATTTGTCAAGCTAAAATAAAAGTTCTTGGTTACCGATTCCCATATAATCAATAGTGTTATTCCTTGTTGAATAATAATTATTCATCCTTTGTACCTTCATAATGAAGGTACAAAGGATTTTGTTGGAAATTTAAGCAATATGGGGAAAAAAAGTTCTGATTCTTTCTTTGTTAATAGGAATATTGTTTCTTTACTCATCTATGAAATTAAATTGAATATATTTGGGTTGTGCACAAACATTTTTCACTATTTTCTGAAATTTTATAGACCACACAACTGATCGATTTTAAAATTATTGACAGTGAAAATAATCTTTAGTTGCAACCCTCAAAAATGAGTTTTGTCTCGCAGGCCCTAGAGCAAAAGTAGTTAACACACTTATTGAAAAAATAATGTGGAGTTGGTGTCAACAGCATGAATTGAAATGGGCTTCACAATGTTGTAAAAATGTGGTCACACTTACCACGTCTAATATTCTGGAGGTAATAAACATCAACTTTTTTTTTTCTAGAATGCATAATTTTGACTAAATTATATCACGTATTGGTCATGGAAATTTTATGTAATTAAATAGTCTTGTAATCAGTCAGTATGTACCATGGAGTACTGATTGATAACAAATTAACATTGAGTCTTGCACCTCTACAATCTGTCCTCTCTCAATGCTCCTTGCTGGTGTTTCTGTTTCTGCACAGGGGAGTGATGGCTGCGACGGATTGCTACATTGTGCATGAGATCTACAACGGGGAGAATGCACAGGACCAGTTTGAGTATGAGCTGGAGCAGGCACTGGAGGCCCAGTATAAATACATTGTTATTGAGCCCACACGCATCGGAGATGAGACGGCCCGATGGATTACCGTGGGCAACTGCCTGCACAAGACGGCCGTGTTGTCAGGCGCCGCTTGCCTCCTGACACCACTTTCACTGCCCCCTGAATACTCGCGCTATGTGGCGTTGCCCGCTGGCGCCCTGAGTGTGGCCTGCGCTGCCCTCTATGGGATTTCATGGCAGTTTGATCCCTGCTGCAAGTACCAGGTTGAATATGACAGCCAAAAACTCTCACGGCTGCCCCTGCATACACTCACCTCTTCGACACCCGTGGTATTGGTACGCAGGGATGACATCCACAGAAAGAGACTCCATAATACGATAGCACTGGCTGCCCTGGCGTACTGCGTCAAGAAGATCTACGAACTCTATGCGGTATGAGTGCACTCTGAAGAGGGTTTAAGAACCGACAGAAAAAAGGAAAAAACAAACAAAAAAACAGAACCTATCCACCCCCAGATGTAAGAAAAGTGGAAGCCGCGATCAAGCCCAGCAGTTAGCTCCACACATGTGGTGGGTGCTTCCGTTTTGAACTTTGATCAGAGGAATATAGTTAAAACTAGAAGGAATTGTTTTACCTTTCCTTTAATTCTATGTGACAACAACACCACACTTATCTCCGTAGTACCCTCGCGCCTCCTCCCCTGTGCCCTCCACCTGCATCCTTGACACACAACAGGCCAGTGAACAAGGGTATGGCAGCAGTTCCTCTGGACTGAATTGAAATGCAGTGGAAACGGACAGATATGTTTTGAGTACCAAGTTCTTTCCCTCGTAGTTTTACTGTACCCCATTCTTGCTGATGAGCACATCACTCTTTCATTAAACATTAGGATATTTCAAACTCACTTTTCTGTATTTTATTTTACGTTTTTGTCATTAAATGGATTCTACGTGATGTCCAGAAAAGAGCAAATAGCTGCAACTTATTTGAGATTGTGTCTTGTTCATGTAGATTTTCTTGTTTAAAAGAGTTGGGTGACAATGCCGTGGCTCAATGTCCTCTTTTGAAAAACTTAACATTTCACACATGCTTCTAAAATTGTATTGTATATTACATTAACATCAAGCCAAACTCCCTTAATTAAAATTACACAACACTATTTGACACTACAGTTTATAATAACACAGCAAATTCTAAATTCATGCTTTATTGTATAAGTTCATCCAATGGTGCTTGTTGCTATGCTGCTTTCTAGATTAGTACTTTTAAAATTTGTGGTTCCAGAAGGAGTTAATACTGATGATGAGATGAACCAAAATAAGTGTGGATGAGTTGTGATATAACAGGACACTTGCAATAATTGAAAAATAAAGTGGAATTCAGATGTGAATTATTTGAATGAGTCACAGTAATCACAGTATGGTCACTGATTAAAAGTAGATCTTATTTAAATGTCCTTTAAATTACTTCCCAAAACACTTTTATTTGTTTGACAGCAGGAAATTAGTTATTTTAAAACATTTTGTGTTAGCAAAGCGTTTCCTAAAGATCTTTTTTTTATTATTATTATTTTAAAATCTCCATTTAACAATGTATCAGAAATAAATTAAATCTGGTAACTTTGAAGTTTGAACATTCTGGCAGTATTTCATTAAGTAATGTGATCACACATTGTGAAACAGACAGTTGTGATTGATAGCAGATCTATGATGATCTATCACAAAAATGTAAATGCCATGCCACTGGCTTCACAATATTTTGTCAATTTCTAAAAAGGAACAAGGAATGTATAACATGTTTTTACGCTGGTTTAAAACGATCACAGTAAGGTTGCAAAGAGTGCATGAAGATATTGAAAAATGTCGTCCTATTGTCCTGAAAATTAAGACTAGGTGCTTTTGTTGTTGTTCCTGATGGGTACTTGGGTAAAATCTACACTTTTTAAATTGTGTACTGAGTATGAAAGCAGCACCTCGGATAGCTGAGCCGCAGGCTGTTGGCTGTAACCAGGAGGACATTCAGTTTGCAAACTTTGCCCAGCTCTTTTGTTCACATTGACTTTGCGGTTCCGGTTGGCTGTGTGTTGGACTTGGACCTGGAAAACCTCAGGAAGAGAGTGTTTTGTAGCCCATGCGTTGCCCGTTTAGTCGTATTGAAATTGCATTTGAAACGCATTTCTGCACGCGGAGTATGCAAAACCTTCCAATGCTGAATTCTCTCTGCAGACATTTAACATTTATGGCATGAGCGGAGACGGCAACACTGAAGCAGACGGACGATTGCTCAGAGGGACGGCCTGAGACAACCTCATCAGTTTGCTGATGTGTGGCCAGAGCTGGCTATCTGTCAGCTGACCCTACTGTTCACACCAGTGCTGATCCCAAGGAGTTGGGCTGATTAATGGGCTGGCTGTTTATCAACTATTTTTGGGGGGCACAGGGATGGGCCAGTCATCATAAAGAAGATATTATTCATTAGGAGGACAGGTCAGTATTTCTCATCTGACAGCCTGGATAAAAGCTAAATCCTTCTCCTGTTATTACCCAGACTAATTTCTCATTTCGTTTTATTATAGGAGATGTGACGCCCTCTTCGTTGCTGCACACATTAAATTCGCCAACTCTGCCTCTGATTAGCTTAGCCTGACGATGACGTAATTCCCTAGCCGTGATGGTAATCCAATCAGAGACAGAGGAGGGCGGGTCACTCCTTTAGTAGGATTTGCACCACCAGTCAGACGATCCCGGAACTGCACGAGTCACGCTGCTGTTTTGAACAACAAAACAGTAATTTGGGTAAGCTATAACCACTGTAGTACATGAGTGAGTGGTTTATTACAATGTGGAAGCTAGCTTACGTTAGCATTAGCGTCCCTAGCCATTCACATTTGAGTTCTACACACCTGACGTTACCCTGCATGTGCAGTGCATGCTAACCCTGCGCGTTGTCATATGCAGGTTTGACACATATTTTGCTTTGTGAAATGTAAAAGTAGACATGGTGGGTACCCGTCACTAAATGTGAGACTCAGTTCCGTATAAATGTGTGTATTTATGCAGCATGGTGCTCCAACATGTAGTCAAATCAAATAATCTACTCTGGGGAAAGCTGTAGTGTAAGCATGAAGTTAATGTGATGTTAGATGGTCGAGTCATTCGGCTCGCTTGGATTAGGTACAGCTGCAAGGACATTGTAAAGCGTACACAAAGTAATTCAGAGTATGTACAATATCCAACTTGTTTAGGGACAAATCAGCATGTATTAATGCTATGTGGAGTATTATAATTTCTTACTTCTCTTTGTACCTCTAAATATACCTCTGAGGATATGTCGCTACTATTAGTATGGTACTGAGGTCTATAACTTGACTGAATGTCAAATTATTTTATTAATTCTACTCTTTAGCCTACTTCATTTTGAGGTTCCATTTTTGAAAGAAGTTTCTCATGTTGCTTTCATCTGAGAGTGTGTGCATGCTCATTATGTGGTAGTACTTGTCACTGTTGCCATGCTGGTTGTTTGAGTTGTGCTTTGGAAACAAGACAGTGGGAGCTTACCTAAATGCACTGAACATTAAAACATTCACAATCCCTTTTGGCATGGGGACTTGAGAGCTTATGGAAGGCATATGTCAAGGTCACACTGTGGCTTGTTAAAAGCCCTATTTGGTGTTTTTATTCATCTTTAATCCAAAAGTGTGTGAACTAAAGGATAATGCTGCAATAAGCCATTGTTTTCATGATCAAATATACTATCTGTCATTATTTGCTTACTTGGCCTGATGTTTAGCTAATAAAATCCCAAAGTGTCCACTGTGAGGATAATATGAACCTGACAAAACAAAGCAAAACATGACAGATTTGTCAAATCTGACAGCGATATACTAAGTGAAAATGTTCTGTTATAAAGAGACATTTGTTTGGCAGCTTTTCTGTACAAGAGCAATGGATTTGAGTGTTGTAATATTAACAAATGCAGTTGGGAAAAACTCTTCCTAGCTAAATTCTTTGAGCTTGTGTCTCCAGGTAACGCGTGTGGAGCAAGGAGGGTGAGTGCCATGGAGCGGGTCATGGGGGGGGGAGTGTTTCCGCTGATGTTAGCAAGTGCGGGGATCTTGCTGCTTTATCGGATACTTGTTCGCCTCAGACCAGGAGCTGCTCTGCAGGATGCTGTGGTGGTCATCACAGGGGCCAGCTCTGGACTGGGAAAAGGTCGCCTTCTTGTTCATTTCCTTTTCTATTCAGCTTACATGTAGATGCTTGATATGCAACGTTTCATTTCCATTGTGTAGTGCTAAGACAATGTACAGTAACATGTTTCAGTGTTGTGGTGCAAGTGCTAAAGTGCAGTGTTTTGTACTAGTACGGCATGTTAACACCATGTAAAACAGGTGTGTGTTTTTGTGTTCTAGAGTGTGCACGGGTCTTCCACGCTGCAGGTGCACGACTCGTGCTGTGTGGACGAGATGCAGCCCGCCTGCAGCAGGTGGTCCAGGAGCTTACAGCAAGTTCAACAGGCTCACAGCAGCAGGTGTGTACGAAGCCAATGGTCTGATCTGAGATGTTTTCCATGACAAGAGTACAGTTTATATCTCAACTCCGTGTGTCAGCAATTTCATCTACTTTTAACTTCCTGGAATCATAGAATTATTCAAAGCAGTTAGGATACAGGTGTAGACAGATGCTTTTAGCTCATGCGTGTGCTGTTCTGTTCAAACACCAGACTTGCACTCCCAGCACGGTTATCTTTGACCTGGCGAGCACGGACACAGTGGACAGAGCTGCAGAGGAGATCCTGAAATGTTATGGGCAAGTGGATGTCCTCATTAATAATGCTGGAATCAGTTATCGTGGCAGCATACTGGACACCCACCTCTCAGTACAGCGGGATGTTATGGAGACAAATTACTTTGGGCCCATTGCTCTTACTCAAGGTAAGTGAGGAGCGCAGCCTGGACTGTGGAACTTTTAATAGCTTTTGGTTGCCAGATCGGAGCAGGAAATTGTGTTAGAAATTCAGAAACATGTAGGGTGGCAAAACCCTACATGTTTCTGAATTTCTAACACATTGTTTAAAAGGTCTTATAATAAAAACTCTAATGAATTGGGAGTCAATGTTATGCTGCTGAACATCTCATATGATGTGTGTGGCTTTGGTTACACAAGATGGTAAGGAAAGGAAGTGACAGAGGCACAAGAGAGCTAGAGTTTTATGGTAATTTTCAGCTTTCCTAGGAGAGAGCGCAATATTTACATCTGTCTCCACACACTTGTTCTTCTTTCCTCCAATCACAGCTCTTCTGCCCTCCATGGTTCGCCGGCGCAGTGGCCACATTGTTGTCATTAGCAGCGTCCAGGGCAAGATAGCCATTCCTTACAGATCAGCTTGTAAGTTTTCTTTATTGACTTAATTAAAGCAAAGAAATACCCAAGAGGTTTTTCAGTCTGTGGGACTGATAGTTTGTACACGTTTGTTTGTCAGATGCAGCCTCTAAGCACGCCACCCAGGCCTACTTTGACTGCTTACGGGCCGAGATCGAGCGCTACGGGATTCCAGTGACCGTGATCAGTCCTGGGTACATCCGAACCAACCTGTCGGTCAACGCCGTCACAGGGGACGGCTCCAAGCATGGAGGTGAGGCAGTGAAACACGTGTCTGACTGTGTTTACACTAACAGTAAGATAATATCAATTGGTGTGACAAATATGCAGATGGTGTGTGGCAGACACTTTTCTAATGCCCTTTTCTGGGTTCCTTTCTCTTCTGCCGTTTTTCTATTGTAGGAAACGGTTAGGAAAATTAACCAAGTACAGAATGCAGGGAACATAAAGATACCTATAAAATAAACAACTATATTTTTATAATCACATCTGGTTAAAATTAAAAAAAGAAACAAAAGGAGAAAAAAACAAGTCCACATATAAATACTGTATACGTATATACACATGCATGTGCATGTATTTTATATACTGTATTCTTCAAAAAATAAACATTTTTGGTGCTTTATTCATTAGTCTAAATAGCTTTATTAATGTTGCCATGTTCTAAACACATCACTGTACTTATAGTATGGTCAGTTTGTTAAATTAACATTTGATTGAAGACGGGGTGCAAGGCAAGTTTATTTGTATAGCACATTTCAACAACGATGCAGTTTGAAGGGCTTTACATAAGACATGAAAAGACATTAAGACGAAAGATAAAAGAAACACAAGGTGATGTAAACAAGAGACATACGTAGGCTCAAAATATTTGGATTAAATAGATATAAATAAGCTAAAATGGAATAAAACAGTAATAAACAAAATGAAAAACCACAAGACGAGAAGAACACCATCCCAGTATATGAACATATTTCTGTGTTAGTTTCCCAGTATCGTTGATGCAACATGTTTCTTCCAGTTTTGGATCAAACCACTGCAATGGGTCGTGACCCCAGGGATGTGGCTCAGGCGGTTCTGAAGGCTGTCCGTCAGAGGAGCAAAGATGTTGTTTTAGCAGGACCCATGCCCAATCTGGCCATCTACCTCCGCACTCTGTGGCCAGCGCTCTTCTTCAAACTCATGTCCTCTCGCGCTCGCAAGGAGCAGAAACCTAAAGAGGAGTGACGCAGCAGCAGGTGAGCAGCAAGAGGCTCACATTACAGGCACACAGACCAAAACAAGAAACCGAGTCACATGGAGGCCAAAGGGGACAGGATGTGGACATATGCAGCTCTTTGCCATAATATGTTTGTTTGCACTGTTAACTAATGTAGCATCTAAAACAAACCACAAATCTGTGTAGCAACAGGACTTTATGGTGAGTGGTTTTATTGTATTGACTTAAATCTGCAGTTGACCAGGTTAGTAAGACAGTGTTGTTCAGCTATTGCTGTAATTGACTTTTCATTAGACTAAAGCTGTGCTGTAAAGGACAGGATATGCTGTTTTTTAAATTGACTTATTGGATTTGGTTTACAAATTAAATGTTCAAACTGTTTTCCTTATGCAGGAGAATGAATGTTTAACTTGTCGATGTTAGTACAGCCTAAAAAAAGACAGATCTAATTTGCAAACATTTCACTATACTACAGTCCATCTGATGCTGTAGTAGAAACAAGTATGAGAACATAACCAACATGCAGGATTTGATATTGTATGTGCCGCTTTGGCTACCACAATGGTTGCAGTCAGACTACAACACATACTATGGTTAAAAAAAGAATTTTGTGTCTTGTGTCTTTCTTAAAGAGGTGTTACAGCACCTGACATATTTCTGGGTCATCTGTACCATATTATAATAATAATGCATTACATTTATATAGCGCTCTATCATGGAAACTCAAAGCGCTTCACAGTGAAGTTGGGGGAACTCACCTCAACCACCACCAATGTGCAGCCATTTAGCGCCAGAACGCTCACCACACATCAGCTTGAGGGAGAGAAACATTGAGCCAATTACCATGGGGGATGGCCAGATGGTAAAAACCAGGTTGGGAATTTTTGCCATGACAGCGGGGAACCCCCTACTATTTGCGATAAGTGACTTGTAATTACCACAAGGAGTCAGGGCCTCGGTTTAACGTGTCATCCGAAGGACGGTAGCTTCTACAGCAGCGTCACTGCACTGGGGCATTTTTATTAGGACAAGTGGGAAGAATACCCCCTACTGGCCCTCCAACACCTCTTCCAGCAGCAACTTTTCCCAAGAGGTCTCCCATCCAAGTACTGGCCAAGCCCCAACCTGCTTAGCTTCAGTCATTCAGCAGTAGCAGGGCTTATGTTGGTATGGCTGTTGGCATTTTCATATGGCACAAACTGGAAATGATTCTCACAACAAAGTGCTTTTAAAAGAGGTGGAGGAAGGAAATTCTGCTCATCTCTGTCCAGAAAAAAAATTTGATTTCCTGTTTGAGTTGAGCAGTTTTATCACTTAATTTCAGTAGTCCAGACTCATTTAATTCAACGGGGTCCACTATCTCTGGAAAAGCTGTAAACCTTAAAGTTTAATAACCCAGAGGCCTCATACTGTGCTGTGCATTTATACTGGTTTTACCACAAAGTACACACAATGAATACAATGTTCTGTTTTTTAACTATCTTTATACACAGAATAAAAACACCTTTTTATAAACTGAAAACTTTAAACAGGTTTTTCCTTTTTAGATGTCATCTTAATATTAAGTTAAACAGAAAACATTTTTTTCTGAAATGTTAACAATAAATAGTCCAAATAACAATTTACATTATATTACAAAAGCGCAGTGAATACTGGAATTGACATTTGTACAAACAAATCCTTCACTAACAAAAAAAACCCCATTCCAGATTGAAAAGCCTACTGTTTATTCCTTATTAAGAATCATCTTCATTGTTTCTAGTGGGAGAAGATGAAGCCTTTCTATCAGACGACGGAGAAATGTCACAAGAGCTTTTATATTGTAGAGTCAAAGCCCCCAAGGTGCTTATTAAGGAGACCAGCGTTTTAAATCCCATTTTTGGAACGGCAACAAAAACTCTCAGATAAGAAGATAAACATGTTGACGAGACAAAATGTTCACAATACTGCATTTAGATGATGCTGGTTAATTGAAATTCAGAGAACATCCGGACTGTGTCCACACATAGTACGTGTATATTTGCCGCGAGTGCATCGCAGTGGTGAAACTACATGTGGAAAGAAAAGAGAGAGAGAAGAATCCATTTACCTTTTTAACTTAATCACACACAGAGTGGGCCGGCGTTAAACGGGATGGTGAACATGTTTAGAAGCCAATCATGTTGACATTAGCCATAGTGTTTGTCAGCATCCAGTATCAGTACAAGTCAATGGGGAATTAATGTTTTGAGCACAACCAATCAGAAGGTTTTACTAGTGATTTGATGAGTGTCAACTATGTCTTTAGTGTTTGATTTCTTTACATACTTCTGACTGCTCGCTCTCCTGGAGCTGAAACGGAGTGTAACACTACTGCGAACTATTAATGGTACCCAAGACATTTTGAATTTTAGTCAGTCTGTCAATGAAAACCAACACATGATTGGTCACATTATGGGGTTATGGGTGCCTGGTGTTCTGTCCTTGACTGCAAACGGCTTGTTTGAAGTTCAATATACAAGCGAGAGGAAGTAAAGGTTAAATGAGCAATGTTATTTGTTATAACTAAAGTAACTGAGTGAAAAGATCCATGTGACAAGGTTATTTAAAATGAGACGAAAATGAAATGTAACATTGGGTATACCATTTAAATGTTCAAAAGAGAAACGGCAAGTGAAATCTAAATAAGTATGTGGAAGAAGAACGTTTTTATACCTTATCGACCTCTTTATGCAACAACAAACCAACCTGAAGACCATTGCATCTCGACATACATTAAAAGTGATCGAAGCAGTCGGCGATGGACATTAAATTCTGATATGATTTCAGCACAACATTCAAGGGTAGTAAAAGCTGCAGATTACATCTGTAGAGCTACTACCAAATGTAGTCAACCAACAAAAAGCTGCCATTTTGGATGTGACCATAAGAAATGACAAACCTGATTCCAAACACGCGTGGCAGACTGTTCCTAAAATGCAACCAATAAAACCTGAACTGATCAAGAGCACATGAAAAGGAGGGAAGTATCAATTGATTTCACTTCTACCTGCCACGTTGTGCTCTACTTTTGCAACTGAGGCCGCAGAAACAGCTTTATAGAAACTATGAGAAGTATCTCATGACATTCCACCTCTTTCTCACTGCCATTAATTTCAAAATCACCCCCCAGCAGCTGTTTGCTGCTGGGATCTGAACTGCACATTGTTGTGGATTTACACATTTTGGGAGTTGATCTGAGAGAGTAGAAGACAGACAGACAGACACAGACACACACACACACACAGCAGGAAGAGACATCAAAGATCAGTGAAAATATTTTGTTCAGATATGGCATAGTATTTTCCTGTACATGAGGTTGTGTTTTGTAAACGCATTAGTTTTTCTAAAGTGTTTGTTTTTAAAGGGCATTTCACCGTATAGAGCAGTTCAGCGAAACCAACTCGTTTTGAACTCTGAACAATGGTCAAGCTTCACTATTATTATTGCACTTTTACAAAGAGGGCAGGGATGGCTTTAGGGGGCCCACACAGCTGTCTTTTCTCCAAAGAAGAAGCGACAGCGTGGCACAGTCTAGACCGAGAGGAGGAAACCTCTTCTCTGATCGCTCGGCAGCTTGTGTCCCTCCAGATGGCTGTGGATCGGTGGAGCCCGGTCTGCTCTTCTTTAGGGTGGTGGGATGGAGGGCTCGGTCACAGCCAGTTCCTGAGCCAGGTCATTGAAGCGAGCGATGTAGTCCACGCTGCTCTCACTCATCATACAAGCAAGCTGAGAGTCCATCTGCAAGCACAACCAAAGAGCGTTTATTATACAGCAATGGCAACAGCCTCAACAGCAGCAAAGATGACTGAATAAATATAAAAATCCCATTTTCCCACCCAAGGACTTCTGGTATTTAAATTTTGCTATATACGCTTATTTACTTTCTGGGGGAGCGTTAGATGTGAAGATAAATACCACTCATGTTTGTCTGTTAAATATAGGGCTTCAGCCAGCAGCCACTTAGCTTAGCATAAAAACTAAAAAGAGGGCAAACAGGTAGTCTGACTCTGTCCCAAGATAATAAAATCCACCTATCTCCCAGCCAAGAAACTGTTTGGGCATAACCCCCCCCGGTAAAATGTTGAATTTAAGTTTCTACACTTTTTTAAAGGTGATGGTAGGAGGATTTTATTACCTTTGGACTAGGATTTGGAACCAAAAACCAATTTCAAATTAGAACTGAATCCAAAAGGCCATGAACTGAGTACCTGTTAAAACTTTTTTTAATTTCAGCTCTGCTTATAAACTCCTAAAAGCAATAACCTTTGATTGCTATAAACAAAGGAAACATATCAACAAGGACCTGTCTACGTTATGCTGAAACGGAGGGTCTGCTGGGGGCTTTCCGGCTCTGCAGGTCGGTGATATTGCAACTAGTGATGGGTAAAGTAGTTATTTTCATGGAATCATAAGAATCAGTTAATTAAAAACTCTTGACAAGTGAGTGGTGAGGTGTATTTATCAAACAATGACTCAATACAAACATTCTTTCCACTTGAATGTTCCTTAATGAGATCTGAACTTACTTCTGCAACATCAGGAAGGCCACGGGACTGAAAGGAATCATGGGAGTTGCAGTCCAGGAGGCTAGGACCAAGCAGAGCTGTGCCACTGGAGGGGCCAGAGGGGGTTAGGGTGGTCCGCCTGCCCTTATCAGGAGAGACCATGCTGGCTGGAAGGTAAAGAGGCAGGGAACAGGGAGAGGATGAATAAAGAGGACAGCACACATGAAGAGTGGAAACAACATCGCTCCAAGAGGAAGTCTGCAGCTGTGTCAGTGTTGCTGTGTTTAATAAGATAATGAATATGTGAAGGCAGGAGTTATTTGTAAAGGTTTACTCTAAAATTTGTTACTGTGTTAGTGGCTTTATTTGTTTGTCTGACACGTATTTAAAGCTGGCATGTGCTGGTGTTAGAGCCCAGCCAATAGGAGCAAATTGCAGATATCAGTGTTTGTAACAGCCGATAAGTGACAATTAAAAAGAAAGAGAGACAGAAGTCGGATCTCCAATATACGTTATGAGTGTTGTTGCATATTTTGTCCACCAGACACTGGCAACACCTGTTTGGAGGCCAAAATTCACCGCAAAACACAGCAATCAGCGGACATCATGCTGAAACCTTTGTTCATTTTCTGTATTGTTGTTTATTTTTAAACTGCATTATGTCATGTTATCTTGGTGAGGCGCCACAACTACACAAAATATGTCAGTGATAATCTTCTGAAAAGGTTTTCTGAAAAGAAGAAAATCAGCTAATATATCAGAATATCGGATTTTAAAATCCTCAAATATCAAAATCGGTATTGATCTTAAAAATCCTATGTTGTTCACGCGCTAATTGGTCAATTTGACAAAGTTTTGATATTTCAGACACAACACGGGTCGTCTGTGTTTCCAGCATTAGAATTTTCAATGATAGACAAAACCAATCATATATCAATAAGTTGATTTTAGAGTTTTCATTGACACAAGCATCAACTCTTTGACAGGAAGCACACAGTAGACTTCAGTACAGCTATAATTTAATAATAAACACATTTGGAAAATTAGTAGTAGTATCTGCACGTGTAAAGACTTACAGAGGAGGCATCCCAGTGTTGAGTCTGATGAGTCGCTGGGGTACCACTGGGGGTCGTGGCTGGGCGATGGGATCCAGCCTCTGGACGGGCTGACTGAGGGAGACGTGGCCAACAGTTTGGAGCCGTCGTTGCTCAGCTTGGCTGAAGAGAGTGTGGCCTCCTCACCTGTAGCAGCCATTCCATTATACACACCATGTTCAATGAGCCTGACATCTCAGAAGTTTAGTTTGTTGCATGTCAACAGGTTCTTTCTACAGAATACTCACACATATGTCCCACATGCAAGACAACCTCTCATGAGAACGCAAAACCGAACCCTGTCGGTGTGGGCTTTAATTTAATGCTAATGCCCGTCTGCAATTTGTAATTTTTTTGCAGAAATACTTCCAAATATTTCCACACACATGTTGGCATGTAGGATATAACAGACGCACCATAGTGGGCAGAGTTGATGGCGAGCTCAATGATGGAGTCACTGATGTGTGTCTGAGGTTCTCCGGGGGCGAGAGCCTCTTCAGGGGGACCGGGGAGAGAGATGTCCAGGAGCGAGGCTACACTTGGCGGAGAGAGGAGAGAGTCCCCACCACCGGTCGCTCCAGGAGATGGTGGAGGCACACCATTCTGTCAAAAAAAGAACAAGTTGAACACTTAAATTGGGGCTGTTTTGTTCGCTCAGCAGAAAATAGCCTACAAAAACCCAAACCTCGCTGGACAATAGGAACACTCAGGACAACAACACGCAGGGCACTGACAAACTACACTAGTCACAAGTCAACCTTCAGGCTTGAGTAGAAATGTGCAAAAGACTTTTTTTAACTGTTGTGGGTCCCAACTCAACATCAATATGTTGTTGTTTCTTATAAACAATAACACACATTTCCTGCAGTCAGCCATCATGTTATTCTTGTGCCTCTTCACCCTCACAGTAAAGCAGTTATCCTTTAACACCACGGCGCTGTAGGTTGTACTGTACATTATCCTACCAAGATGTGACTGCATTCATGTTGAACTGCAGATATTTAGCCTCAACTTTAACCAGCTCTGATCTGGTGTTCAGTGAACGGTAGTGATAACCACTATACCGAATCATCACTTTCTCATCACGTCTGATTGTATGTGATCAGAAATTTGTTTGATATTTAGACAGATACCTACTGAGAATCCCCAGATGAGAATAGTTTGATGTTAAATGTGGTAACCAAAATGGTCATGGTGTTATCTACCACTACTACAAGAAATTCACTAGCTGTTAATTAAGTTACGCTTATTCCAATTAAACAAGTAAGAAAAGTCCATTAGTCCAAGAGTTATTGGAGTGTTGCCATGCTCTGGTTAGTAAGAGTACTTATAAAAAGGCACCGTGTTAACTGTCTAGACAGAAAAATGCAATAGCCATTTAGCATAACTGTGAGGAAGAGACATTAAACGAAAGTATGTGTAGACTCCAAGTGAGGCAAAGCTCCTTGTCTGTATCATTGTGTGTGTGTATGCAAGTGTGTGCTGCTGACCTCTGGGACATTGTGCTGGAGGAGTTGGGAGTCTGGTTCAGCATCAACAATGGGTGTGGTGGCGAGCAGGGTGCCGTTATCAACCGCGGGAGAGTTCAGCTCCCGACAGGGACTGCCAGGGATGATACCTGCAGACTTAGCCGCCAGGTCAATAGCACCTGAAAGAGTATTAACAGTTTAGAAACAAAGGGGATTTGTGACATCAGATAAGTATTAACGATAACTGAGGCTAGCATGTGAACCGTACAAAAAGAAAGTGAACTTCAGCAGTTAAACTCAGCAACAGCTTGAATATAAAAATTGAGAAAAAACCCCGCTCTTCCTCTGGGACAAGTGTAGCTGGAAGAATACTCTTTCAAAGAAGTCAATCATTGTCATATATTTTGCAACAGGAACTGGATTTCAGATAAAAATCCAGAGATCCTTGGAACAGTGTCTTATACAAAAGATAAATAGGTCAACTGATTTGTAATGTGAATTACTTTGAATTTCAGAGGACAAAAATGTATTAGTCTCTTCAAATGATTTTATATTGTTGTTTATGTGGTCTTCATGTTTTGTTGAGCTAATTTAGTAAAGGAAAAAAAAAAAGCATACTTAAACATGTTTCAATCAATTATACTCAATCTAAGCTTTTAACAGAGTTTTAATAAAGCAGAAAAATAGAAGAATTAATAAAAGCAGTACATACTGGAGAGCTGGCTGGATGCTGCAGAGCTGGACGTTGCAGGGGAGGCCTTGGACAGGAGGGGGCGGGGGGGAGGAGCCAGGCGAGTGTGGATTGGCCGAAATGATCCAGTTCCTGAGGGAAGGAACAGGAAGTGAGAGAGCGGGAGATTAGCAGAGAAATGACATTTTGTTATGTTCAAAGAGCTCATCAGCTGAGTGTTTTACTAACGTTAACACACAAATTAGCATATTCAAGTGCTTACAATTAAGAACTCAAGAATGATGTAGTGTAAATTTAACAGTTTTACACTACAGGGAATAACACTCCTTTTAACATTTCCATCCTGTGCTGACAAGAAACTCTACTTTAAGATCCTGATGTCTGCAGAGTACCTGTGGCAGAGGAGTTGGAGAGGATGGAGAAGGAGCAGACATGCTGAGGAGTATCTCCTGTTGTTCGGGGTAGGAGTGTTCGCTGCGGACAAGACAGAAGCAACGGAACTAAATGCACAGCTTTAAACTATAAAGACCTTTACAGTTCAAACATTCAGCTATATATTTTTTAATTCAGACTTATATTTTGTTTTCATCAGGTGTTGAACATGTATCATACAATATTCTTTGTCACAGCCCTCGAATGGAACAGTTTTTACCACTGTACAAACCAACGGAGATGCTGTTCATTGCAATACCACAGATAAAGTTAAACACCCTTCTGTTCATCTCTTACCTGAACTACAAGTGGCTTCCGAAGTTGTCTGTTTCGAGGTTTTCTCTGTCTAGAACAGAAAAGATCTGACTGCATCTGCAAAAAAAAAAAAAAGAAGAACCATATTAATATTTGTGCATACTCTGATGGATGATATGCCAATTAAATTTTTGTAGAATAGGATTATAAAATATCCGCATTGCTTGGTCTTACGCTGATAGAGTCAAGCTGCTGTCTGAAGGCGAGCTCAGCTTCCTTGTTGGGGGAAAACATTCTGTTGTGCCGCGAGCTGTTGGGGGGCAGCGTGGTGGGAACTGCAAACACACCGCCTTCTGAGTCGCTGCCTGCAGTCGATCCCAGCAGAGAGCGGGGGAGGTTGCGTCCACCTGAAGAGGTGAGGGACAAGAAGGAGATGTCATGTGAGGAGCGCAATTTTGCCATTACAGCCATTAAATAGCATCCTGTGATTCTTTGTCAAACAAAAACAACTACAGAACCATCAGCATAAACACACATTATCAGTAATATCAGCAGGCTTACATGGGCCAAGAAATAAAGCTGGTATGTGGGAGATTATTAATGATTAATCATAAAGCCTCCTAACTGGTTTTTGACAAATCAACTTACTCCCAAACAAAAGACAATTTTGATGTACAAAAACCAAGTAGTTACAGTGCTTAAGACAGCAGCTTTGGTATAGAGAATCAGCGACATGACAAGGTGAACACGCATTTAGTGCCCGTATTAGTGGCCTCAGAGTTTGTGAAAAATACCTGCGGCTCCAGTGTTAGGCAGGTGTAACCTGGCACCTCGGACCGAGGCTTGCTGCCGGCCACAGCTGGGGCTGCGAACACCTGCAATGAGACCCTTCCCTGGAGGTGTGAGGGTCTGGTTTTGCTCCTCCTGGTGGGTCTTGAGTGGTGATGTGGCTGTGGAGCACAACTCTGGAGCCTGAAGGAGAGGACACAGTAATGACACCATCTGCTCTACATGTGAATTTCTAAATAACGTTTTTTTCTTTTGTGTGTACCCTTAATCTACACGTGGAGGATTTGTTGTGGATGAATTCAATTAGCAGCGCAATTTTAGGATTTTGTGGGGGAAAATGCAACCTGCATACTGCCGTCCTATTGTGTCATGTGAAGGACCACTTTAAAACAATATTTATTTGACATTAAAAGTTTTGTGCAAAAATACAAGCTAAAATTGGTTTCTGGCAACCAGCAACATCATTGTAAGAAGTAATCCCTACCAAAGGTTTAGGATTGACCTCAGTGGCAACCAGCTTGAGCAGGCAGCGCAAAACGCGCTGTGTCCTGTTGGGCTTGGGCTGTGCCAAGGCTTGTCCGTTTTCTTGGTTGTTGGAAGGAACTGCAATGGGCTGCCACTCATACTCCAGCAGCAGCTTGCCAGGCTTCCCAAACATCAGGTAGAGCTCAGCCAGGGTGACGTTGTCTGCGTCACGGGCACTCCAGCCATCCTCTCTGATCTGCTCAATGGCCCGTTCTTTGGCTGCTGGAGCAGACATTCCCTCCTCTGAGCCAGTCACTTGAGCTTTGGCTGGAGGAGTCTGATTGGCCTCTGGGGATGAGGTGCTGGTGTTTAGCTCCTCTTTGCACTGCTCCGATGAGCTTTCTGTGCCACTACACAACTTGTCCGTGCTTTTGGTCACTGCTAAACCACCACTGGATTCCACACCAGTACAGGACTTGACAACATCAGAGGGTCCCATCCCAGTTCCCTCTTCCCTGGGAGCCACAGTCTGCTGAGAGGAAGCAGGGACAGAAACAGAAGGAGGTCTCTTCTCCTCTACCTTTGCAGAACTGTCTTGTGAAGGGTCAGGGTTAAGGGGCTCAATTCGCCGACTATCACCCATTACAGTCACTGAAGCACCACCAACAGCAGCAGCGGTGCCTCCTCGTCCAGATTTGGTGCCAGTCCGAAGTGGTGGCGCCGTGTGAATACCCAGAATCTGGGCAGCTGGCAATTCCTTGGCGTTAGGCCGGTTCTTGCCGCTCTCCAGCCAGTGTACAGTGCAGGAGGCCTTGGAGTGAACCACACGTGCCACACCAGGCAGTGTGGTCAAGGTGCTGCTCTCAGCTGGGAAAAGAAAGAGCTCCTCCTGCTGTGATTTGCTGGGAGAAGCTGTGCTGGACTGGCCGCCCTCCAGAGCCTCCCTCTCCATGAGACTCTTAAGCTGAAGCGTCAGTGTCAAGGACTCAGACATAAGCAAACATAACAACATTTTTAAGAAGTTCACTGATCCACTGCCACATGAAAACTCTGCATCAAAACTCGCTGTTCCATTACGTTGCTACCCATTTGACAATTTTATAAAAAGGATACAATCCGCTGGTCATGGTACGCCCACTTCTGTTTCAGGAATTCAATGAGGCTGGAGACTTTCCTGTGGAGCTCCACCACCATCCTGTGTCAGAAAAAGACACAAAAACAGATAGTTGCTGATTTACAAACTGCTGAGGTAAGATGGTGCAGAACAACACTGGGCTGGGTTTAGGCTCCAAACATATGCAGCATTACTAGGTCTCACACAATGAATGACTTAGTACACATACACATGCAAAATATATATGTATAAATGAACTTTAGCGATTGATCTGGACAGGGCCGTTTCATGTTTTAACCCATTAACTACAAATGTACTACACACATGTATACTTAGGATTTCTGCTGACAATTTTTCAAAGCACACAAAAAGGTTTTATTTTTTTTTTTCCAATTACTTGTTTGGTCTATAAAATGTCAATGTCAGAAACGGTCATTCTGTAAAATGGTGATAAATGTTGATCAGTGTTTCCCAAGATGACATCCTCAAATATCTTTTTTTCACAAACCAAACATATTCAGTTTACTGTCATACGGAATTTAAGAAACCAGAAAATACTCAAGACTCAAACAGATAAATCGATTATCCAAATAGTTAGCGATTAATTACAAAAATAGTCAACAGCTCATCAATTATTCGAGTAATCATTGCTGCTCCTGTGGTTCTTCAGTTGCAAGCAGACACCACTTCTTGATGATACGTTCATACAGCCAGGTCCACAGTACATACGTTCATGCAAACATCTAAAAAATGGGATTAATTTGCCAAGAAGCATTGCCTTATTGAGCTGTGTGATTATGAAAATAATGGCTAACATGGACATGAATTTGTCTTTTCTTACATTAAAAAATATCAGGGAGTGAACAGGGAGTTTACAAAACAGTTCCTGCTTGCAACAGCAAACTTTTTTCCATAAGAAAGTATAGTATATGTTCATTGACTTTGAGCAATTAAGACATTTCTGCAGCCTGATGCTCATGCGGATCTGAAGTAAATGCAAATTTCTGCTTTAAAAATAATTAAGAAATTGCTTTTGAATTTTTGTTTGGTAATTAACTCCTCTCAGACATTAGTAGACAGGCATGCCTGACCTGAGGCGGGGGTTGTGGGCTAGACTCTGAACCCGGGCCCAGGAGTGGTTACTGCGTGGTTGGAGCTCCACTGCCACCTTCAAGGGTAGACGCACCGGCTTCTGGTCCTCTTCGTCACTCACTCCTGCAGGGAGGGACACAAAGACACAGTGAGACTGAATGGGAAACACCAACAAAGCTCTCATAGCAGAAAAGGTGCGTCTTATTTTTTTTTTTTTAGGTCAGTGGGATTTTGTGACAGTATGTGGTCATAAAATCAAAAACAAAAGCAGAGAAATGTCACAAATTCACAACACAATACTGAACCTAAAGAATCACAAGAGGACGACACGAACAGTACAATACAGCTGTGCAGTTGATTAAGAGACGAGTATGCTCTCTTGCAAGCTTTCATGCTTAATGGATTAGCTGGCAACAAAAAAAACAACAAAAGGCCCTTTGCTGAGACTTTTATTGGTATATCACTGAAAATAAACACTGGCTAGCGGTGGGATTCAAATTTCAGAAAACGATTTCTTCAAAACAGCGTCTCTTATTGAACAGAGGTGTTGATGGCAGCCGGTCACACCAGTCATCTCCATCATCTCCCTCCTGCTCCTCCTCCTCCGCTTCATTTTGCTCCCACGGAGTTACCATGGAAACGCCAGGAGCCCACACGCTGCCACTGTTGTTGCCAAAACCCCGCCCCCACAAACCCTGCGCCTCAACATCGCCGTGGTTTATATTTCCAGCACTGATGTTAGTTTACTTTGTGTGTTTAATGTGTGTTCATGCTCACCATCTGGGTCGCAGAGTTTCTTCAGTGCGCGGCACATGGGTGCTTTGATTCGCAAGTTCCTCCCTTTGGAGCGCACAGTGGTGGCCCTGGTTGAACAGACAGAGAAGCAATGAAAGGTTCAGTGTTTTTAAGGACAATTTTTCTAGATCACATTACAACATTTTGTGGAGCCCTGTGGTACCCTTCATGTATTTGCCATATGTCATCATGACCTCTGTCTGGTTTAGTCATTCATAGAAAGGGTGATGGGTGTATTTGCAGATGTGATGTGCCCCCCCCCCCCCCAATTTTTACTACGGACTTACCCTTGCTGGATGAGTTCGTTCAGCTTTGCCACGTTCTTATCATCCATTACTGCCAAAGACAAAACACAAAGCCCGAGAGACGTTTACAACATCATCTCTCAGTAGCAGTTATCCCCTATGACTGGGAGCATGCAGCGTTTAATCACATCCCTTGTGTGGCAAACTAACAGCAGAAAAACACTCGCACACAAAACAGCTTTAAGAAGGCAAGCATTCAGACACAGGTACAGCCTTCACTTACAGCCTCCAACTTTTTTGCGGAGCTCGGCGTAGCAGATGAGGCCATAAAGTTCTTGAGAGGATTTCTTCAGCACTCGGGAGTACACTGAGGAGGAAAGGTGGCACAAGTCACAAAACTGCTGTAACCAGCAACGCAGGAGGCACGTGTATGCTACATAAAGATAACACCAGTGACACTGAGGGCTCTTTGGGGTGGAAAGGGGCTCAAGCTTATCTGGAGAGGTTTTTTAACATATGCATTGGGACAAAGTGCCACCAAAGTGCTATATAAACATCAGCATAGGAATTGTTGACCTCGAATATATATGACTAGATAGAAAGAAATTGATATTCATAAAACCATTTTGATTCCAGTAAGTTATTTTTTTTTTTGCCATGACAGTGACAGAGGCAGCGTCAAAACACATCCACAAGGCCAGCCCTTATTCAACATGAACAAATCAAGATGTTTGAGCTGACAGTTTACAACTAGGCCTTGTTCTTATATTAAATAAACCAAATGTCCATTCCCATCATGACATACAGAGTATATAGTATAAACTAAAGGGCCTTTCAGCCTCCGGACACTTATGACTGCCATGTTAATTTTCCTGACAACTCTAATATACATAACAGATTAAGTGAGACAAGGTGAGCAAAAATTAGATGTGGAGCTCCAACTCTAAGGAATAAATTCTCTTCTACACTTCAACTTTGACTGAGACTTTTTGGGTGACATAGATAAAAGGGCAGCTCACCATTGGCAAAGTCAATGTGTTTGGAGATCTTGTGCCAGGTCCGGTAATAAAAGTGGCGGACCTGCTCCTTGTTCTTCACCATGTTGGCCGGCTTGCCTCTTTTCTTGTACTTCATTGCAATGTTGTTCTGAATAGCCTCAAAATCCTTCCCATGCTGGAGAACAGAGTGGGAGACATGAGTGGAAGATGTAAAAAAGATGCATTATAAGGAAACATTTTAAATGACAATCTATTTGTTTCTACCCTTTACCTCGTAGAGACCCTCAAAAAAGCTGTTTTTGTCCTCTGCGCTCCAAGACTCCCACTGTCGACGGGCCCTCTTCTGGTTACCAGCTTGCTCCTCCTTCTCGGCAGACCCTTGGCCCTTGGAGGCCTTGGAGACTCCTCCTGCGGAGCTGACAACGGGTCCCGACTGCCCCACTGCTCCGTGGGAGGAAGAGCCATTCTCTGCCCCTGTGAGACAGCAAGCCCCCAAATCCATCGGTCATGAAATAGTCAGTGAAAAAACACAACTTTAATACCAGAGTAAAACATGTAAGGATTGAGCCAAATGTTCTGGTTGACCGCTGTGGCTGTTTTGCATAGCTTTGGGGGGAAAAAATACAATTGTAGTTCTGAGGTGCGTGGTTTAGGAGATATTAAAATACATGCATACAAAGCCACCCACTGCCATTACACTGCAAAACCTGCAGAGCTTCCCCCGCTGTGGTCCAGCTCTGGCAATGTGGCAGGAAAAGCGATCAGTCCCTACAGCCAGGTCCACAGTACACAGGTCCAAAACCAACTCGTAGTGGGCTTTAATGGCCAAGCACAGAGCACAATGCCAGAAGGCAGTAAGACAAGCACAGAGACAGATGCTGCTGCAGCACTGCACTCTGTTAAGACAACTGTAGATTTTCATTTACAAATACAAATCTGTGTGGCTCATAGAAACACTTCTAGGTTAGTGCCTTTCAAAAGAGATGTGGACCAATATAGCATCATTTCAAATAAGTCGGGCTTCATTTAACTGGTCAACACTGCAATCTAAATATAAATTTATGAAACAATCACAGTTTCCTTCTGACAACAACAACAAACGAAACCTACCAGTCAAACCTGTCAGAGCAACTGTTCAATGAGCAATGTTCATCAATGTACTGTGGATGTTTACTCATGTCTGATCCAATTCAAATTAATTTATAAAGGCTTTTTTTTGACATGCTGTCATTGCAGAGCAGCATAACGCAGTAATAACAAAACAGATCCAGGTTTCTAGTAGCACTTCAATAATGAAGAAGTCACCTCAGTAGCTTTAGGTTTCTGGATATTATCATAATGTTGTCCACCTTTTTATGCATCATTTACATAGATACACTGAATTAAGACAGATGTCCATTGGTGTTTATCTATTTTTGTGATCAATAATCAGTCCTTCAGTGTGCTTAAAAGTCAAGTTATTTCTAGCTTTTATTTTTTTGCTCAGACAGTTAATCTAACGATTTAAATTTAATTCATCAATGTCAGTGTTTGAGAAACGCTAAAAAGAGAATACACCATTAAGGCATTTTTAGATGTTTGTTGCATCACTATTGTTTGTAGTGACATATATGAATTTATTTATTTATTTTGTGTGGTTTGGACCAGTGAGTCAATGAAACTGCTGGCTGAGGGCAATAAAGTTGCCCAGCTCTTTTTTTCTAATCACTAAAAATAATAATAATAAAGTGCAAGCAACTCTCTATAGTAAAGCAGCTTTCCTGTCCTGTCCTCACTCCCAGATTTATTTTTCCTACACTCACTTGTTAATGACAGTCATAACAGCCCGTTTTTAAAGCCATGATGGCAAGTTTCCAAGAAATAAGTGAAAATACCCATTTTACATGCTTATTGACATTTTAAATTCTGGCCTGTGTCTCCTTCCTTTCCAATACCACAGAAATGGTTCAGACAGGATGGTGTTGCAACTTTGGCTGGAGGAGCCAGAAAATCTACCCCAGGCACAACCCAGCCGAGAGTCAACACACGGCGACAAAAACAGCATCAGTTCAGCCGTCACTGATAAACAAACTGTAAACACACTCACAACTGAGAGCAGACCCCCCGCTAATCTCACCTATAAATACATGTCTCTAACACCGGTCACCTACGGTACCTTTCGATTTTGCCCCGCCATGTCCATTGATGGTCGAGCCGATTGAATCCTTCCGGATCCGTTTGCTCGGAGGTCGAACGCTTGATCGGAGAAAATGATGCTGGTCGTGACAAGGGGGGCCGGGCTCCGCTGAGGTCTGGGGGTGCTGGGCTGGGCCTAGTCCGGTTCGGTTCGGTGGAGAGGCGGGGAGGACCGGAGCTGAACCGGGGCTGAGACCCGTGGCTGATGGATTAAGAATTTCCACTCCGTCGTCTCCCTTTGTACTGCGCTCCTCGCTCGCCTGCTCTCCGCTCTCCTCCTCGTCGCAACCTTCGGGCTTTCTGGACGGATTCCTCCTCCCATCGACACCGATCCCCTCCCTGGAGCCCGGTGTCATGCTGCCAAAACACATTCAGGGGGAAATTGTCACATTAGCAGCAAAGCTTTGTGCAAAATTAACTTCTAAAGACGACGTTCACTGTCTCTCAACATGGCCGCCGCTGTTTGTTTCAAATCCCCTCTCCAGTCCCGACAAAACAACGCCAAATATATGAATTTAACGCCTTGAGATTAATAATATTCAACAACTCAAATAGTTTAGTAAGTGTCGGCAGTGTTTTACTAACTGTCTTTCGGCTCGAAAGGGCAATATTTTAGGTTGAATTTCAACTAAATTCAAATGCGAGCGCTTTTCAGTTTAGCGCCCTGCAGAAACGACAACGAAACCCCTCGGTGCAGTCGACCTCTAAATAAAGTGTTTATTTCAAACATAAATTTACCCATTTTCGTGCTCTTCGGTAGTAGACGACGTCTTCTTTCTCTTCACCATGAGTCCGACCGGTTAGATTGGCAAATAGTGACCAAATCGAGCATAATAAAACCGAGAGCGATCTCTCCGCTTTCTGCCCTCTCCTTGCTCTTGCTTCGACTGAGCTGAACTCTCTGCGCAGTTCAACTGTTTTCTATCAGCAACAACATTACTCAATGCCCCTTTGCAACAAGAAATAAAACTATAAAACCACTGACAAATAAGACATATTTACTGCAAGCACTGAAGAAGAATTTACTATATCGCGTGTCAGTTCAGCTCATCTGAATTGATGGGCATAGATAGTTTTATTAACAAGCGAGCAAGTGGACTTTGTCACTACGTCACCATCGCCTGCAGAAATTATGTCTGCAAAACAATTAATTTCACATACATCCTGCATCCTGTAAGGCTTTGTGACTATACTCTATATTTGCTAACATTACTATCGCCTCGTACAAATAATTAAATCACATTTCAATATCAGGAAGCTTTCAGGAAATATTATGAGCTCGGTGCACATCAAGACCAGCTGTACTACCTATATAAAACAGTGTTATAATGTGTAAACATAACAGCATGTATAATATCGTTTGCTCGGTTGTTATCCACTCTTTTATTTATTTTGAATGAAAGGGAAAGCTAAACAAAGACAGATTTATAGGACTAGAAGCTTGAGTATGAAAATGACGAGCGATGCCCCCCTTTCTACATTCAGACACAGCCTTTAAATTCCTGTTTTGTGTCATCCAAACACTAAATCTCATACCATCAGCTACAAAATACAACTGAACAGCAATCAGACCTGAAACTAAAGTTGATTAATATTTACTTTCGCTCCATGCAATATTACAACTACAAGCAATTGTAATGTTAATAGATGAATGTGACTGTCACTTATACCCAGAGGCCAAATATGATTTCAGTGTTACCTTAGATTAATCTAAAATATTACAACAACACAGTGAAATCTATTCAATAAAGTTAAATTGCATATTTCCCCTGCAATGTTACAGTCACAGCAGCCCAATGATTACAGTTGTCTAACCACTGATTTGATATTATACTAGAAAGCTGAAGTTACCAAGCAGGGCACTTTTAATAGTTGAAGTTATTGATACAAACACTTGCCGTTATCTTTACTGTATTACGCTGTATTACATGTAAACAAGAGTTGCCTCCACTCATAGCGTGGTACCTAGCATGGCTGCTGTTCTTAGCTAACATTAGCTAACGTTGACGCTACGGCAGTCAAATAAGCCTCATGTTACAAAAACCGCTTGTAACATGATCCTTATGTTATGCAGCTGCTCAAGCAGTTTGTTAGATGTATAACACTGTAAATGTTTAGTAATTACCTTAAGTGGAAGCCTGTTCGTGGTATTCCCAATCGAGACACAGGCTAGCATTGCTAGCAGACGGCTGTCGTCGGCTTGTTACCGATGACAGTTCCTGGGGCTCGGTTGCCCACGCGTTTGGGCACGCCCACTACAACTCAAAAACAAATCCTGTGATTGGTCAGAAAAACACGAGGACGACGGTTAAAATTTGATTGACAGAAGACTCCATCAATTGTTAGTGAGATGAACACTGCGAAGGACCAATGACTAGTGTCTTCCTGTCATGCCGTATAAATTTCCTGATTAAAAATTTCAAAATCCGAGGCCAATTTGATTTTTTTATTATCTAAACTTTTTGTCAGTAATTACGCATAATTTCAACGAATTTGGATCACCGCAACGGTTTTTTGTCGCACTAAAAATAAATTCCGCCCAGAAAGTGATTGACAATTTGCAGATCAAATCAATATGCGGAACTCAAAGGATGCGCTTGAATTTTATCCTGGAGTACACCTAACAATCCCCGGGCTACGCGGAACCCGAATTTGATATTTACGACAGGCAACCAAACATTAACTGCTACTAAGGTTACAAGCACAATGCGCCAGCTATAAAGCACACAAAATATGACACTAATGGGTTTTGATTCAATAGCACCTGCACTTTGTTGTTGATGGTACAGCAGACTCAGCCCACGTTGCGTTTAGCCAGGCCAGGCGCCCCGATGCTAAGAACAAGCATCACCGAGAACAGTGTACAGGTTCGGTTGGTTAACGTCTGTTTAAATGACCAACAGGGTGGAGTTGTAAGCTTTTTTTAATATACGAGATGTATGTAAAGATTACAAGTGTACAAACACAAAAGTATGTGGATTTAGAGCTGTGGTGCCCGAGCAACAGTTTTATCTCTAAATACTTGTTAGTCCATCTTTGCTGGAGGGACCCCAGGTGCCGTGAAACGAGCGCCCCGCCTCACTCAGCAGATTGGAGGCGGCCCAGTTATATTCCTCCGTGTCACTGTTGGGTGGATTCACTGAAACCCTTCACTACGGAGTTTGGTTGGGCACACGCAGATAGGGGAAGTTGCTCGTCGTCCAGTTGGCAAACTGACGAAGTTGTCTTCGGAAACTTGAAGGCTCAAAACAAAACCACTATGACTTCGACGAACATGTTTCAAGGGTTGGATACTGGTACAAAACCAAGTTCCAGGTGAAGAATATGTAGTCGTGTAGATTGGTTATCTGTGAAAGAAATGGCCGACAGTCTCTTATTTCGAGTAACTTAACATTAGTCGGTCGCTCAGCTAACTTGGCGTCTCACTCTAGGTTAACGTTATCTGACAAGAGCTCGGTTAACGTTAGCTTTTCTGCACCCATACGTTCTCTGTTAATATTTGCAGACATAACACTAGCATGGTTTAAGTAAGGTAAGCCAAATATATGTGTCATCGTTCATCTTGAGCTAGCTTGGTTTAAGTTATCTTGCGTTAGCAAACTTCAGAGTCAAGAATTAGCTTAAGCTAACGGACCAGGCGTTGTCTAATGTGCTGCGCCTGCGGAAGTGTGAAAGCCCCTTCAGGCTGCTCTTCTTTGTACTCGCCAGCAACGGCGGTGTGGCCACATTGTTCTAGTTAAAGGAGGTCCAGTTTCTCCTTACAGACTCTGAAGTGTCCGTTCGTGGGTCAGCGCCTCTAAATAATCGGGTTCACGCCACGTTGTAACACTCGCAAATAACGTAACGTTATGCCGGTACGGTCAGATCTTAACAAGCTAAAGACAGCTCAGACGTATGGCGCCATTCCCGGTCTATAATCAAATAACGTGTCATTTGTGTGCATTGGCCCGAGTTATAGCCAGGTTAACTACTGTTTTCTGCTTGCTCTCCTTTATGTGTCAGTGCAAAAATGACATAGTTTGTAATTGTAAACATGAACCTCCATAACTCAGACATAATGAAAACATTCGTGTCTACACCTGTTCTCAACGAGCCTCTGAAAAGCATTAACTTTAATAAAATAGCTCAGTATATACAGTTCAGTCTCTTAAGATATGTTAGATGAATTCCAGGTAAACCAGTTGAAATCCCTCTGTCTCTATTTGAAGTCTGTCCTTACCAGGTCACACTTGCACAAGGTATTTGATCTAAATTAAACTGAAATAAGTTGGATATGTGGTACTATATTCTTTCGTCTTCTGCAGGGTGTTGCAGCCTCCTGGAGGTGGCTCCAGTAACCTGTTTGGCGGCTATGAAGAAGATTCTGCAGCATCAAGAAGACCTCATAAGATGGCCTCTAACGTTTTCGCTGCACCAGCGGAGCCCCAGAGTGTACCCAGGCGCTCCAATCCTCCAGGTCAGACACTCCACCTGTCAGGGCTAATAGATGTGCAGAGGCAGCACGGTCAGAGCATCTATCAATGTCCAGGGTGTGAAAACCGTTAATGTAATGTGATAATTCCACTATAAACACTTGTGCTTTTCTCTGCCTGAATGTAATCCATCTCCACAGTTTGTGTTATGTTTGCGGTATGTTTTCAGTCCAGTCTACTACTGAAAAATGGTCTGAGTTTTCAGACAGGGACTGCTGGGTCACCTTGACTGCCTTATCTGCTATTCTTTCACTGTGGTATTAGCATCCCTGAAGTGGTCACTGTATTGTGAAAACAGTTTATGACACTATAATTTTCTCGTGCACATGATGTGATGCTAAAGAGTGAGGGGTTATGAAGAACCACAGTATAGACACAGAGTTCATTCTGTTACAGTGTCATGACTCTGCAGGACCACCAAATAGGCAAACTGCTGCAAAACTTAACGCAAATCTTGATAATACTTTTAATTAGGTGGGAAGAGTAGCGGAATATTTGGGGATCCTGAACCTCCAGCTCAACCACAGAGACCCATACCTCCAGGTGGACCAACCAGCAACATATTCGGGGCTGCAGAAGATGCACCTGTTCAAAGCCGAAGCCACCCAAATAAGCCAAAGGTGCGTCATGCATGCGCTTTGCTTGGACTATACTTGGACTTATTTGTTATTTGGTTTGTTTTATTCATTTTCACTCCTGACACTTGATGATTAACACACCAGCTGGTGAGCTTTTTAAATGAATACTTCACCCCAAATTAAAAATGTATTTGTTGTGGACTTCCCACCATGCAATTAAGTGAATCAGTCAGTCTTTTCCGTGTGTCAATAGTGTTTGTGCAACCAGAGTATTGTTGGCTTAGACTGCAGGGTGTATTGCAAGGAATGACTTAAAGATTTTGGAAAAGCTTTTGCAGTTACAGTAACTATATTTGCTGGCGGAATAGGGGAAACTTCCCAATATTAACAGTATTCATGATGATGATGATTTTCTCGTCATAGAAGTTCAAAATGATGATGATGGGTGTCATCGTAGACTGTTTTAAAGCCTGGTAGTATGACCTGCGGGAAAAAACGACATGCCATATTATCCTTTGTTAAGGTATTGTTCTCTCTGTGTTCAAGAAGTAATTAAGCTTTTGTCATTGCATACAAAATAATTCATTTTTTATGTTTTAAAAAAACGAAATTAATCTGAATCGTAGGGGAGATTTGAAGCTATGAACTCGGTCAAACCAATTACTGCATGGCTAATGGTCACTGGCTAGCTATGACTCGTCCGATCCTTTACACAGAGCATTGTATGATCATAGAGGACAATGTTTTGTTCAGCCATATTACAGGATGTATTGACTACTAGGGTTGGGCTGACAGACGATGCCATCGTCCGTAGCCAATGACCGCCATAGCTGACAGACATCACAATGTTTAGCCGGCATTGTGATTTAACAGTAGCACAGTCTGTGGGGACTTGCTGGTTCAAGTTCAACACGGACTCTAAGGAGTATACATTAGAGGACCCTTGTTCATGGAAGTTGCATTGTTTTACAGGGTTTAAGCAGCTGCTTTAGCTTTATTCAAGTAATATGATGGGAACCTGTTAAGTCTTTTCATCGCTTAAACAGTGAAAAATCTGTTTTTTTATTTGTTTTTTTTAACAGGACAATCTAAGTGTGGGACCTGGACCCGAATCACCAGGTGAGTTTGATACTTAAAGGAAATGTCCATGTGAACTCTTTCTCGGAGAATTGTTTTATCAAGTCATCCTACTCACTGTAGCGTTGAAAGTGGGCCTACATCAGTTAAATGGTATTATTTTTAAATGTATTCACTGGTTAAACCTTTCCTGATATCACACAGAATTGACTCGTTACACTCTATTTCGATCTTTGTTCGACATTGACTTCACTACTATCTATCACAAATAGAAATGGGTGTTTACTTTTAGGGTATTATTCTTTTCGGAATTTCTGCTAGACATTTTCTTTTTCCATCTCCAAGCACCTGAAGCCAAGGTCAGCCAGCCCGAGGTGAAGGAGGAAGCTGCCCCCCCTCCAGCTCCCATGCCAGCCAAAGAAGAGCCTGCTGCTGTCTCAGCCCCTCCAGAGCCTGAGCCCTCTTCCTCCTCCTCCTCCTCCTCACCTCCCGTTGAGAGAGACGTGACTAGTGAGCTGAAGAAGCATGAGCCTCACCTGGGACCCAAGCCTCGCTCTCACAACAGGGTCCTCAACCCCCCTGGAGGAAAGTCTAGTGTGGTATTCTACTGATCAGCTGAACACGCCACTCCTCCCTGTTTGTGTGTATACACGCCTTGTCTGCTCCCCTGTTAATCTTCTCCCATTCCAACACCACTCTCCGCACGGTTATTTCACCTGTACATCTAAACACAGACCAGGAAGTTTTGTTCTTCACACCAGGTCGAATATGTCGTCCTCAACTTCTTGCACTTTCAGTATTTCTGGCTCCCACTATTTTTCTTCTTCTTCTTCATTGAAACCTGCAATCATACAATCATACAATCACCAACCAATCGATCAGCAAGCTAGCTATTAAACTAATCACTTGAACTGTGACACTGTTCAATCTCAATATTGCGGTTACTGTTTTCACTATTTCTGTGTTTAAGCATCTGTAAATGTAGTTTGGTGTAAGGCACAATTATTGGATATTTAAGACATTGTCCAAAGCTTTAAGCAGTCCTAAAATCCTGGTGTGAAAATTCATGACAGACATTTGCTCACATTTCAGGGTGTCTCAAACCTTTAGTGTGTACGTGTTCAGTCAGGAGGGGGTGAATAGATCGTCTCACCAATGTGACATGTAAAATGTTTCAGGGAGTTCCACTAGTACCACCTTTATGCGTTGCCAGATCCTTATTGGATGACCACATAAAACCTTTTTGTTTGGCTGTTTTTCAAAATGATACATTTTAGACGACAAATAATGACTGTATAATCAGAAGCCTTATGTCAACTCAGCATTGTTTAATCTTTCTTGCCTTCTCATGAATAATTCCCCCATGGTTTCCTTCTCTAGATGCCAAAAAAATTGACTTTACAAACTAAGATGAATGCGGTTGTTTACTCCCAAATGTTTCTGCTTCCTTAAAGAAATTCCATTTTGATTGTGTGCGATTGTATTGTGCAGGTACTTTTCTGCTTTGCCCTCATTGCTTGCTTTAACTAAGAACATGCCTTTTTTTTTGCTTGGGGTAGGCCTCTGTTTATGTTTTAAATTAAAACGGCTGAAGATAAATAAACCCTGGACAAGCGTGTGGCCTACCTGAGTCCAGGTGGGCTCATTGATAATCACCTTTTCACCCACTTCATGATGCACATTCATGGTCCTCTGCCAGCCTGTCCCCCATGTATTGATGTGCCTGGCAGGCAATGAGCGCAGCAGAAGAAAGAATCCTGTGTATTGCAATAAAACTGTTGTTTTGCATTTAGAGTTTGCTTATTTTGTTTACTTTCCAAAACCATAGAAATAACACTTCTCAGAATAAGGGTGTAGTAAGTGAAATGCTTAGTTTGAATTGACTTGTCATAAATGGACATGCCATGCATACCTTGTTAAATATTTGTCAGTGTAAATGTGACATACAAACTAAGTCTTGTGTGCTCCAGATTTATAATTAATTCTTGAATCACGGGTGCTTTTGTCTAGATTTGCCTGTTGGCAGCACTCTACAAGCTGCTTGTTGTAAAAACAAAATGACCTCTTAATGCCCTGGAGGAAAATGTAGTTTAAAACTTTGCAACTACACATTGGAATCTGAGGTACTACGTTTCATCTTCTCTTTTAAGGTTTAAAACAGCAGACAAAATGTTTGTACCTGCGACTATACAGATACTGAGAGGAGTAGGAGTCCTCTCTGTATGATGCCTGTATATAAGGTTTTACATTTTATAGCTTAAAAGAAAAGGATGATTGTTACAAATGCATTTCCTGAAACAAGACAGCAGGCAGGACTAGCTGTGTACAATTTGTAAGTTCACCAGCCATTTAGCTTATTTAAAAAAAATTAAAAAAAATGAAGCTATTACATGTTGTCAGCCTTGAAATTAAATTGTCATGCTCAGCATGCATCTATTGTGCTTACACTTGAGGGTAAAAAATGGCTTGGCATTGGTTTAGAATGAGTTCTGGCTGATCGCTTGGACGATTATGACCAGTCTTGAGTAACAAAAGCCTCTTTCACATGCAGCTTCTATGTCAGAGTTTAGAACTAATGTGAACAACAGAACAGATGAATAAGTGAAAACTATATGCAGATGTATAAGTTCAACCATGGTTACTGTGTGATAAAAGAGCAAACAGAAAAGCAACTTGTCTCATTTTGGGCAATAACATGCCACAAGTGATCAACACCACACTCACTCAGGTGTTAACAGTTATTCTGGCAGGTCAGGCAGACCTCTCGTTGGGTTAAAGGTCTGTGGAACTGCTATGGCTGCTGAGTTTATCTTACTCCTTACTATACTAAAAGCTCAAGATGTTTATATTCCTTTTCACCACATTCATAACGAGCATCCTTTGACTCGTAATACCAAATTACTCATTGAGTCAAGCTTCTGTGCAGAAAAAAGTTCTGTGCGAAGTAAAAATGTTTTCTGCTTATTTTAACTTATTACTGGAGTAATAACGGTAACGTTTTAAATAAGATGCTTAGCGAAGTACCCATTAACCCAAAAGTGAACAATTCATTGAAATAATATTTTACTGCAAAGAAAACTGAAAGCTTATTTGTGTTTCACAACTCAAACAAGGTTTATCCAAGTTCACGTAGGTCTGCTATGTCCACTGTTGGTGTAATACCAAGAAGTATGCCAACACCTCAAACCAAGGGAGGACCTTCAAAGGACCACCCACCACGTGAAATATAAATATCTCAGGATTTCACTGCCACCTACTGAACGAAATCAGGAGAACTGAAGCTTTATTCTGATGCCTGCTGACATTCAGACCTGTAGTCAGCGTTCATTATGATAGATAACCTTATTTAATGTTATGGTTAATTTTTTATTTATATTTAAAGTTCGTCTGATATGAAATATCTTGATTTACTACTGAAATGCATATTGTAAATTAATAATAAAAATCCCTTTTTCAATTTAAAGAGTTGGCTACAAGAGTTTTGTGAGTTTTGATCATTTAGACCTGATCACAGGTCTTTTAAAGTATGTGCTATTTTGACATGTTGTTGTACTGTTGGGAGTTAGTTGTTAAATATGGAGGTAGTTAAGGCTTTTGGAGCTGTGGGCCCTGCCCAGTTTTTCATGCTTCATTGAGGATGTTTTTTGTCTCCATTGTGAATCCCCTCCACAGCAAATAGCCCAAGCTACACTGACTCAAAGCTCAAGTGAAGGATGTTTGCTCTCAGCTCCTTGTCCTTTTTTTATTGTCTGGAAGTGATTTTCATACGCCGTACGCTGTCCTGTCTGTGGGGTCTTGACCCCTCTTATGTAAAGAGTTGACGACATAAATACAAGGTAGTTTATTAGTCATTATACAGCACAGGGCTGCATAACTAAATTAATTTTGTAGTTCCTTCATGCTACACACACAATATATTAAGTGTAGGCCTATATTAAAATGTGGTAACATATAAAATAAAATAAAATAAAACAGTATATACAGGTATTTACGTAGGCTACAGGTATACACCCCAAACATTCCACAGTGCATTTTTTGAATTTGCATCTGGGGTTGAATGTAAACAGCAGCAACCACATGATTATATGAGAGTTTCATCTTCATCTGTTGATGATATCACATGGAATTTAATATCAATATAATATTAATATTAATTATATTTTTTTATTAAAGATAAGGAAGGAACGTAACACAAGACATATATTGAATATCAGATTCTTATCAGGTTTCCTCTGATTCTGTGCTCAAAAGTTAATTATTCTCCTAATATCAACTAATGTGTCTTGATTTATTTTAACATCCATTTTGTTTTAACAAGTTCAAATGCAAACTGGAGATATAGCTCCCTCTTTATGCTAATCAGGAATGTTCACTGCAAGACGATTTTGCAACTCTGTTCATCTGTTTTGCAGAGTCAAGTGTATCCTCTTGCACCTGTACCTGATAAACGTCTGACCATGTGAACTGAACTCCAAGGACCTGTCATGGAGGTAAATCCATATTTTGCCTGTTTGGTTGGTAGGCATAAGCCACTATTGATCCAAGCTATTATTTATTTTAATTGAGCAGCACTCATTGCGCCACTCAGTAAAATTGGCACTTAAAAATCATATTTGGAAGCAAATAGCAAGTCAGGAACAGACTGCTGGTTCTAGGATTTGAAGACAATGATTTGGAAATGTAGGCCTACACATAAATTTCAGTTGGTTAAATCATTATTCTAAAGCACTTGATGCCTTTTTGCAGCCATCACGTTCATATTCTCATAAATTGACCCCTTCAGGCGTCAATGGGCAGAGTAAAACAAATCTAAATTGCAGATTAAAGACCCCCTGAGCAACACACATTTAAAATGTAGAAGATACTTGTTCGTGGCCAGTTCAGGCAATTTTAGCCGCGCTCTCAGGAGCTGCTGAAAAAAAGTTTCATGTACTTTTATTCTGTCAGGTGGGAAATAGTCTATCTATTAAAATGGACCACAACATTTTAACTTTTAGCTTTAAATTAATAAATTAACAAAGTTTTATAAACCATAGTAATGTACAATTGTTATTGTTTGTCTGGATTGTGAACTATTTTATTTAATTTTTGGAGAGTGCATTGTCATTATTATTAGTCAGGTTCCTCGCAGCAGGTCCTGCACTTCCGGTTTCATTTTCCTAAATAAAACCACTGGCAAGCATGTTGGTTATTTCATAAAACAAAGTACAAAAGACAGGGCTGTAACACATGTCCTCAGTAGGCCTATTGTTTATGGGAATTTGATATTTAGATCACTATTTAGGGAAACAACATTTGCAGAAAATATAACAGAACATGTAAATGAGAAAAATATAATGTCCTGATCAGATTTGTGTGGTTTCAGCATATTTCCATATTTTTCAGACAGTATAGAGAAGTTCAAACTATCCCAATTTGAAACGGCATGGGGAAGAAGATTAACAAACTGTGACATCCCAGACCTAAAATTTGTCATCTGAACCAGAATATTTGAGCACTGAACAAATCAATTAAGTTAGATCTTAAGAATGAAAACTTGTTAAAAAAAGGAATGTGATTATTTTCTAATGTCTACAAGATTAAGAGATTTCATAAAAGAGCTCACTAAGAATAAAGTAGTGTTTAAGGATAGAGAGCTTACATCATAAAACTAGTATTTTAAACATTGAAATGACTGAACTGTTTATTTAAAGGGGCACTCCAGCAAGTAAGCACTGCACTTAATTGACATTGGAACACACAAAAGAGACAAATTTAAAGAAGAAAGAATGGGAAAAAACTGTCAAAGCTGAAGTAGCGAAGGCTGAAATATCTTTTTAGTCCCTAGTATGGGTCAAGCTTCAGAAACTCTGAATCCTACATTTCCCATAATGCAACCAATAGCATTTTTTTGTTTGACCCTCCCTGTCTGGGAAATGCCCATCTGTTTCAAACTCTACACCCTCAGTTTGTCACACAGATTTTGTCATAAATGTGTTGTCTCCAAACTCAAACAGATAAACGGGATGAAAGCACTAGGGTTACTTTCTCAGACTTTAGAAAGCTCCCACCAGAGCAGCTGACACAGGGTGAGCAGTAGGCTATATCGTGACAAGTGAACTGGCCTTTAATGCGCAATATCGGTGGAGTGAGTGAGTAATGTGCCTTTGTGCCATCATTGGAAAGCTGCATAAAGTAACAATTTAAATCATCTTTATTTTGAAATCGTGAAGCTGGCTTCCGGTATAGTCTCTCTGGCTTGACGTAATGAGTCCGCTTGCTTGATGCAGACGGTGTGACGTCAGCCAGAGTCGGTCAGCTGGCTCCTCCATCTGAACAGCAGGGAGAGCCTCTCCCATAGGGAGACATCACCATCAACGCCCGAGCCTGGCCAGCAGCACCGGCAGCCCGCTGGAAGGAGGAACAAAACATGGAGGAAACGATATTATAGAGGCGGATCGGGCGTCGGCGGGATCAGGAGCGTTAGATTATTTATTTACCTATTTATTAATTTATTTATTTCCCCTGCCAGTAATGGCTGGGGTCCATGGCTGCGGCTGCTAAGAGGCAGGTGCAATATCATCGACGAAGCCATTTCGCTCCCCGGCATGGACTCAACGAGGGCCGATCCACAGGCCGGCCCACTGCACACCCACCGCTCCCCGGATCAGACGATTGCCGCGGGAGGAGAGCAATAGCTGGGCCGCTTCTGGAGGCGAAACAACGAGCCGCTGGTGGAAGAGGAGGGGGCCCTCTTGATATCCAAATATTAGAGCCAATATTTTCAGTACAGAGCTCAAGGTTATACACAACAACAGACAGCCGTCGTTCAGCGGATCTGTGCTGCTGCAAAATGGCATGAGTTTTCTGTATTTAAGGACTGTGACTACCCCCCTTATTCTGCGCTGAGCGGATCCAAACCTTGTGGGAGTCTCGACTTACAGGCCCGAAACACTGTTGAGCGCAGTCTCCTCATCTGGAAAAACAGAAGCCGGCTCCAGCTGCCAAGATGATGGAGCTGCAGATAGACGAGGTGGTCTACCAGGACGACTACGGCTCCGGCTCCGTGATGTCAGAGCGGGTGTCGGGCTTGGCCAACAGCATCTACCGCGAGTTCGAGCGCCTGATCCGTAGCTATGACGAGGAGGTGGTGAAGGAGCTGATGCCACTGGTGGTGAACGTCCTGGAAAATCTGGACGCGGTACTGACCGAGAACCAGGAGCACGAAGTGGAGCTGGAGCTGCTGAAAGAGGACAACGAGCAGCTCATCACTCAGTACGAAAGGGAGAAAGCTCTGCGTAAGCAGGCGGAGGAGGTGAGTGACCCCCCCGGCTCTGTCTGGGCCTCTGTGCCCGCACCATCCCATCATCATGCTGCCTCCTTCATAGTCACGGTGCCCTGTCTTCACTGTCTTCACTGTCAGCTTCAGACATGTGACTCATGTTTAGGCCTGTGACATGATTATTTTTAGTTTCAATGCACAGCAGACACTGCTGACAAATTTCACTCGCTGTCCCCCGTCAAGCTGTTAAAAACAAAACCTGAAACCCTATAATACAACTTAAAAGCCTGTCATACAGTTGTTATAGCACACCTGCTTTAGACATTACATTTAGACTAATTAATATCTAAATAAGTTAGTTTTTACTCACCAGGCATCCTCAGGTGTCAGAACAGTGTAGGCAGACGTCAGTGAAAGGTTTGTAGTAAAGTGTAGTAAATGAAAAAATACTATAAAATACCTCACCATTCAAGGAACAATAGAGTTTTTGATCAAAATGTGCTTTCCAGCGGATATTGAAGCAGTATCATACAAGCAAAGATGTTGAGGTCATTATACAGTCTTATAAAACAGACAAAGGAATATTTCTTTGGAAATTGTTTTTGAAATTGCAGAGTAATAAACGTAGTATGTGGGCTACCTGACACAAGGACATGCAAAGCAATATTAGTCATTTGTATAGTTCTACTTATAATAGGTAGTGTGCAGTCCAAACTGCCACAGCAAGACACTACTACTACTACTACTACTACTACTACTACTACTATGTCTGCTAATACTACTTACTGGACCTATTTTTACTGTTACAGGTGTAACTGTCACAACCACTTCTGCTATAATACTACCAGCACCTTTATTACCTCAACTACAACCACTAACTGGGCTTCCACCACTGTAAATGCTTATGCTACAACTATCAACAAATGTACAATACAAATTTCTGTTTTTACAATAAATATAATAACATTAGTAGTTATATTTTAGCGCTCTTTTATTATACCTGAGCTGACATGACCTGAGCTGATGTCTCATATGCAAATACATAAGCACACAATTTGCAAACACAAAGTAAGGACATGATACATTATATGGTGATGAAGGGACAGTCAGCAAAGCTTTGACAGACGAAGGGTGTAAGCATGACTCTCAGTGGGCGTTTATACTTGAAAACGCTGGAAGGACCGGGACACAAACAACAAAAGTGGACGTCAATATGGGGCTATCACATTACCAAGGCCAAACTCCGCCTCCAGCACATCTTTCGTTTTTCTTTTCTCTACCGCTGTCTTTCTCTGTCTTGTGTCAGAGCAGCCGTGGGATCCGGGAGGCATCATAAAGCAACTTTAATCCTCCTCCCATCCAAAGAGGCCTCTGCATATCACTGGCAGTCCTGCTAGTATCAGCTTAGTTCAGCTTTTAGTTTCATCATCTGTTCTCCCCGCTGTGTTTCCACCCTATGTTGGTGATCTAGTTTGTTTTCACTTTATGCTGTTAATTCAGAGAGGACTTGCTGGTCCATATTAAAATTTCATAGTTGGCATATATAATCTTCTTTTGACAGGAAGGTATTATAAAAATGTGATTGCAGTGTAAGTATTAATACCAGGACAGGTCCTGCAGGTGATTTTTTGTTAACACTGATAGCAAAACTGAAACTAAAAGTATTTGTATGATGACTTGCTGGTGAAGAAAAATAGGGAAATGTCATAATGAGCCCTTTGGATATACCCTGCACTCTTCTGTCTCTCATTTAAGGAAAAATTATTGGCAGCAAATGCTTAGATATAAAAACAGAGCAAGGTCTGTTTGTTACATGCCAGCGTGGTGTAATAATACAGTTACAGTAGGCCAACTCACCAGACAAGAGAAAATCATGTCACTTATCCACAATTTGAGCTATATTCCCCTTTGATAATACTGACCAACTCTGTGATATCAATTAGGTATTTAATCTTTATTTTCTGTATCCAGGGAAGCATAGTATATATATTTGTAATATTTCACTTTCCTTTGTCTGGACCTTTCCAGCTGGGTTTCATATTAGTCCACACCTATTAAATGCTGAGCTTTATTTATATTTTCAGCACTTTTATAAGTAGCAATTTTAGACTTCTAGACTTTATAATACATTAATCTTTTATGGTCAAGTGTGATTGATGTTTCTTGATTAACTTGATTTACTGTTTCTGTATGTTTGCAGGCAGCAAGAGAAGTTGATTTACAACTCTGAATGGAAGAAATAAACAGAGAGACAGTTTCATCTGACTATGAGGGGTGTAATGGGGGATGGGTCGACGTGCGAGGGGTGGGGAATCATAGGAAATCAATAGTGCACAGAGCACACTGAGGGGGGCCTGGCACTGTAACCCGATTTGTGCTTATGAGAAGCAGAGACAGAACAACAAAAGCAGAGAGAAAGAAATGGCCTGAGGTTTAGAAAGCTGCAGTGTGTGTGAGTAAACGCTCAGGCCAGAGACAGAGGAGAACAACAAGAAAAGGCAGCGTGAGAGAGAAACTCAGAGCCTGAAGAAAACAATAATACAGCCTCTCGCAAGACGCAGGGAGCAACGAGTAAAAAGCGGCTCAGATTACAAGGTGATTGGGCTCAAGCTAATGGTAAACAAAGCCACAATACCCTGTCTGCTCATGTAGCCATCACCGAGATTTCCACGATTACAGCGGGGTTAACAAATCCAGCCATTTTGTAGCATCTTTGTTGTTTTTCTGTCTTCTTAATGATACATCACTTTGTATCATTGACGTGCTGGTTTCACACTTCTCAGAGTCTGGTGCCCTATCTGACCAGGCTCTTTTTCCCTTCTCTCTTAATGGCCTACAGATTCAACATGGTCTCAAATTTGCTAACAATTACAGATTTCATATTATACTTCACATCATTATTTTCATGCTGTTGTCATTCACTCTCTGTGTTGTCAGTTGGACATATGACCACAGTGCAGTCAAACGCACTTAGCCATGGTTTGTCAGGGAAGCACACTAATGAAGTATTTGTACTGGACAGAATAACACAATATTACAGCCCATAAATACACACTGTGTCCTTCTACCTGTGTTTCCATATGTCCTTTAGAAAATGCACCACTCTGTTTTTTGATTGTCTAGCCACCAAACTAATGCATACTTTATGCTGTGCCTCCTTAACGCTGCATTTTAATAGCAAATATTCGGATAACGGATACAGGTAAAAGAAGTGGATAGAGGAGTGCATTTGAAGGGCGTCACTGTAGGACATATTCCCAGCCCAAGGGGATAAGACCAAGGATATTATTACAAGAAGCTGTAGTCTGCTGCTCTGAAGGCAGCACTACTGTAACGCATAATGGTGGTCACTAGTTTAAAGCCATTACATTTCTGAAATTTCTGAAAAAATAGATCACAAATCCTTTTGAGAAATCTGTATAGAGAAGCTTTTCTGTTTGTAAAGCTTAATGTGTGAAGCATTACATTTTTAGGACAAGAAAACAGACCATGCATTCAGATATTAATAATAAATGTTGTGAGAAATGGAAACTATAATTGCATGAAAAGTCAGATCCTTTATCTGATTGAAATGAGCTAACAAGGAGAGTAACATCTCTGCAATATTTCAGCTACAGTCATGGGTTAATTTTCCTGCTAAAATCCACTCTGCGTATGACAAATTAGTGGAGATTGTTGTTCTCCTCAGTGTTAGACATCAAAATTGGTCGTATCATACTGTAGGTCATCATATTGTAGCAACTGCCTTTTTGTGTGGTGCATATCTGCTGCATATTGCAGGGTCCATGGTCTCCCCGCAGTCAGAGGATTACAGTATTAAGACTTTGTGGACTTGCTGCACTGAAAAAGGGCGTCATTGTGAACAGCTTTATATTTAAAAAAACAGGCAATGTGAAAGGGAAGTAGGCAGCTCTGTGTTTTCCTATTTTTTCCTCACTCACTGAGTGTGTGAGTACACTGTGGAGCCAACAGAGGTATTTTATTGAGCCTTTCTGTAAGAAATTATGGCTTAAAAAAATCACACGTTTGTCACCTAAACACTGTTTTTGATATGAGCACAGCCACCTTGTTGTGTTGAAACCTGCACACGCACAATTTATAACTGTTTGTGAATGTATTTCCAGCCCTGTAAAGACCTATCTTTGCTCATGTGTCTTCCATCAGAAATTCATTGAATTTGAGGATGCATTGGAAGCTGAGAAGAAGGACCTGCAGGTGCAGGTGGATTTTCTGGAGCTGCAGGGGAAACAATTGGAGCTCAAGACAAAGAACTATTCTGACCAGAGTGAGTGGACAGACATCCTTACTACAAACTTGATATACTGTACGGGCAGCACGTCTGGCGTCTCTCGATGACA